TTTAAAATCAAGAACTTGAAAGGGAACCTTAGAGTTTTTCATGAGCTGTCCGGAAAGCAGTCCGAACCACCAGTACAAAAGTAAACCTGGTCTTGACCTTTGCCATTGTGTCCCTATTTGAATTATGTGTTTTCAAGCTGTGACCTTTTTTCCTTCATTTCTCCTCCCTACAAATATTTGGACCTCCTCCATGTTCCAAAGCAGTCTGTCTTAGAATCCTGAACCAACGGCAGATAGAAAAAAAGGGGTGTTCAAATCCATTGAAGTTTGAAGAGCGAAGGCGAAACGTGATGAAACTGGCAATGGGAGAGCCCAGCTCTCTTACCTTCATGCCTGGTCAGCATGGAAACAGAGGAAATTGGCTCTCCCTAGTTTTCCTCCAGAACAATTTCATACCTGTGTCTACTTACGGTAGCTCTGCTCCTACTAGAACAAGGCCAGAGAAGGTCTGGAATTTGTAACTAGTAAGTTACTTTCCAAACACCATTAGTTTTTTAACTCTAGTTCTTTCTCCGCAAGGAATCCCTAGAAAGTAACTCAGCTCCTATTTCAGTTCTGATTTACTTGGATGATTCCAGCCCGTCAAACATTACTTAGACGATTTCTGAATAAGGGATCTGGCATAAACCCTGGTTTATGCATTTCCTGTATTTGTTTCATTTTGCAAATTACGAATCGCGAATGAAGAGCCAATTTGCATTTCTTGGGTGCTCAGGGAACCAGTTCTGGTTGCAATTTGGGTCCCCCCCCCAATCCTGGGGTGCGGACCCGCCTTGAAATTTCCCTAAAGCGAAAGTCAACGGGGTCTCCAGACACAGAACCCGCATTTTGGGCTCAGTGTTTAACACTTTGTGACCCAGGCGGGCCGCAAGGACGTATTTTGATGGGCCACATAAGGCCACCCTCGGTCTACAGACTTCCGTGGCTCTGTTTGCTTCGCGCAGAAGAATCAGGACCCTCCAGAATCGGGGCCCAGATGCCCAAAATGATGCACCCTAAGAATAGCGGAATGAATAGAGAGAACGGAATGAATAAGCCTGAAGTAGACAAACAAAGTTATGTTGTCTTAAAGAACCACCCATAAGCTCCCGTCACTCTCTGAAACTGGTTGTGCCATCTGACAGGATCCAGTCCTGTGGTTTCTCTAAGGCTCAGGGCCACTCTAAGACTTTTACGCCGCCTGAGGCAGGGCAGAAACGGGTCCCCTCTTCTACCACTGCCATGGTGGATTTGGGATTCAGAGTGCCTCCGATATTGGGCTGCCTGAGGCACAGGAGCCAATCCTGAACCCAAGCCGAAAAGGATTCAAAACAATCCCAATTATTTTGACACGTCAGACGTGAAATCTTCCCATCACCAACGTGGAGTAGACGATGAACCAAGGTTCCAGAAATTGAGAATTGTTGGATGGTCCTTTACAAGAAAACAAATTTACGGCTTGTCTCATCTCAAGGCAGGGCTGGCTTCCCGGGAACCTCAGAAGCAAAGCAAACACTCAAGGATGGTGGGCATTGAAACCCCAAATATCTGGAGCGTAGAGGGTTTTGCACACTTGATTTATAGCATTGGGTGAGATACTACAGCTCTTCTCTCCGACAGATCCGCTTCTCATGTCTCCTAAAAGAAACCTGGAGTTCTCCCCTACCATCAGATATCTGGGACTTTGATCCAGCTACGCCAGAGGTGAGAAAACTGGAATTTATGTCAGAAAGGGACATTTCTCGTGCCCAAACCCCGGGCATTTGAGATCCCTCTGCTGTTTGCAGCGCTTAAAAAGACCGAACGGAGAAAGGTTTCCCCCGTCGTTCGAGGGATGCATCGCAAAAGCAGGAGGCAGAAGCTTCTCGAAACTCCGGACTCTTGAGCCCATTTGCCCCGTAGAACGGAGACCGTCCTTCGGACTGCGAGGAAAGTGGGCTGTCTGAAAAGGCCAGGAAAACGTCCTGGCTGGTAATCCCCTCTTGTTTCGGCTTGGTGGAGCAATGTCAGGCAAATCCAAGCGGAAAGACTTCCCCGTGTCCTTTGAGACAAAAGGGGGATATTGAATTATATCTAGATGTAAGATTTAATCCCATGAAAAGAAAAGGCAAATGAGCGAATGGCACAAAACGGTATTCCTTGGGATTATAAACCAGTCCCAGTGGGGTTTGTGGAGGCTGAAAGCCTAGTGGGGAGAGCAGGGTGTAAATTTTCCTCTGCCCATTGAGAGGTATTGAGGCATAAGGAGAAAGGATATCTGGAATTCAGAGCTTGGGGTGGGCCAAAGGAAATTTCTAGATATATATTCAGAAGACAGGTAGATTGGGAAAAGCAAAATTAAGGAGGAAACAGAGGAAGACCCAGTACGAGATGGATCAACTCCCTAAAAGAACAGCAACATTGATTTTGCAAATGGTGGAGGTTTCATAGTCAAAGGCAATCGATCTGAAAATGCAGTAGGACCACCATATCAGTTCGACAAGTATCCACAGTTTCACTTGTCTGCAGTCTAAAAATATTAAAAGGAAAAAGGAGAGAGAAATGGGTACAGTATTTCCACAATGTATTTACCAGAACTAGCCACTAGAGGGAGAAAAAATATGTACCATGCTCTCTCTCTGTCTCTCTCTAGTGGCCAATTCTGGTAATACATGGTAAAAAAATACTACTTCTGGATTATTATTTTTTTACTATGCTATGTATAGCATTCACAATTATCTACCGTTTTTGGGATCTGCAGGGAACTTGGAATCAGTCCTTCATGAATAAGGGATCCTAAAAGAAAGTGGGGACTAATTGTTGAACGTTAAGGTGGGAACTACAGATTTCTCCCTTACTTGGGGGTTTTCCACCTGTCCTCTGCTGAGAAGACCATAAAAGGCACAGATGCTTTTCATCCCCCTGGCTGAAATCATTAGATGGGTTGCAAACCGAACTGTAACTCAAAACCTTTTTTTAAAAAAATCAGACTAACAACCTGGCAATGTCCTGGTTGGAGCAAAAGTGTTCAACCAGATCAATGCTTTGGGTCTCATCCAGCCACGCTCTTTTCTTAAGGTTCTGAATGTCTTTGGCAAAGGAGGAGAAGCAAACCGCGAAGGAGACGTTTCAAAACCGCCCCGATTTGTACCGGATTCTTGGTCCCAAAGAGCTGAGCCACAGGTGTCAATGTTCAGAAGCGTGGGTCTCGTCCCTTTTCTCCCCCTCACCTCACATGAACTTCCTGTGGCCACCAGTTCCAACGTCCACTTTGGCTCATCAAAAACCCTCTGAGACACGGCAGGGAGTGGGGGAAATTACAGGATGAGGAAAAGACGGCACCGGGTTTCTGGGGCAGGACCGTGGGGGTATCCCTTCCCCCAGGGGACTTGAAGATGATCAGAATCATCTACCAGCCTCTTGAAAAGTTGGGAGGTATTTATGAGAAAAGAGACCTTTTTTGCTTCTTGACTTCTTGAGTATATTTCCAAGCGTCACTATCGGGAGTGGCCGCTAGAGAAAGACAGAGTATTTCTCTGTACGGTAGGAGCTCTGGATCCAGGGGGAACTTCTTCCAAGCTGCCTGCAGATGCTGAAAACCGTGGATAAAAGCGAACACTCTATGTAGCATTTTTTTTTCAATCCAGAAAAAAAAATCGCCATATATTACCAGAACTGGGAAAGACCTCGTGAATATACTTATACTTTACTTAAACCTTTATAGGCATTTAAGGATGCTGAACAGCGTGGATAAAAGCAAACACTATATATAGCATGTTTTTTTTTAAAAAATCAAGAAAAAAATATTATCAGAACTGGGAAAGACCTCATGAATATAGCTATTTCTAGTTCTTTTCTCTCTCTCTCTTTTAAAAAACATTTTTACTACAGTGGTGCCTTGCTTAACGAGTGCCCCGTTTAACGGTGAATCCGCATCGCAATTTGTTTTTTGCGATCGCAAAAGCGATCACATTGCGATGATTTAGATTAGAAAAAATCGCTTTGCGATCGTGAATATAGCTATTTCTAGTTCTTTTTTCTCTCTCTCTTTTTAAAAACATTTTTACTATTTTCAGACCACCAATCCCAATCCCACAGATACGAGGGCCCTACCGCACTTGCTTGGCCACTGGTTACCAGGCAGCGAAAATGGCGGCCGTATGGAAGATTTTCACATAACGGTGAGTTTTTGCCCATAGGAACGCATTAAATGGGTTTTAATGCATTCCTATGGGCTTTTTTATTTCGCATCTCAATGAATCTGGATAGCGACGATTTTTCCGGAACGTATTATCATTGTTATGCAGGGCACCACTATTTTCAGACCACCAATCCCAATCCCACAGGTACGAGGGCCCTACCGCACTTGCTTGGCCAGCCATTAAATGCAGAGTAACAGAAACCTGGCTCCTCAAGAGTAATGGCTCACCCCGTAAGTTCCTTTTGGAAAGTACTGTTGGAGCGCTCTGATTTAAAGTAAGTAAAGTAAGTAAGTAAGTAAGTAAGTAAGTAAGTAAGTAAGTAAGTAAGTAGGTAAGTAAGTAAGTAAGTAAGTAAATGCATTTGTGGGTCTTCATGGATGAAATCCGATTTGTTGGTGCTGTTTATGGTTTTGATTGCTGCGCAAGAGCAGGGAAAGAGGAGGGCCCCAACACAAGATGGACAGACTCCCGAAAGGAAACCACGACTTTTGAGTTGGCAAGAGCTGAGCAGGGCATTTGAGGACCGGACATTTTGGGGAGCCAACATTCATGGGGGTTGCCTTGAGTCAAGGGCAACTTAACAGCCTGTATAACAATAAGAGCATTCCCTTCTTTTCCCATCTGTGGGCTGGAAATGTGGCATTTGCAGCCCGGACACCAAACCGTCCACTTCGATTTCAAGAAAAACTTGACTCTGTAAGGTCAAGACCTTGCATCTGTGGGAGAGCCCACGTTCCTACGGTGAAGGGCTTTTCCAAGCATGGTTGTGATGCTAGAAGGGCGCTCAGGTCCTCCCTGAAGGACCACCGAGGACAAGCCAACCCCTAATGAGCTAAAACTATGCGGTTGTACCAGATGCCTGTATTTCTCTGGTGTTCTGGGCAAGTGGAAAAACAACAGGAGTTGAGCGTCTTCACCCAGGGGCTGCCGGAAAAGCCGGTAAGACGGCATTGTTGATCTGATGGATGCTTACTCAACCTTGCCCCATTAGAAAATCCCGGAGGGGGTTTCTCTCCAGTCCATCTGTTTCTCAGTGTGATGTGGCTACAAAAAAGCCCAGGCTATTTTAGGGTGAGTGGACAGAAATCTAGTCTCCAAATCCCTCGAGGTGCTAGTCCTCCTCATCTCGAGTCCTGTGTTCCAGTTCCGGACACCCCACTTCAAGAAGGATGCCGACAAACTGGGGCAAGTTCAGAGGAAGGCAACCAGGAGGATCAAGGTGGACTGGAAACCAAGCCCTAGGAGGAGGGAAGACGGAAAGAACTGGGCCTGTATAACCTTGAGAAAAGAAGGCAGAGGGGAGACACAATAGCATTTTTCAAATACTCAAGAGGGAGTCCTACAGAGGAGGGGCAGGATCTGTCCTCCATCCTCCAAGAGTGCAGGACATCATGTGCTCAAGTGGCAGGAAGCCAGATTTCAGCTGAATCTCAGGAAAAACTTCCTAACTGTTAGAGCAATATGACAATGGAATCCATGACCTTGGGAGGTGTTGAGCGCTACAGCGCTGTGGCGGCATTCACGAGAAATTGAGACAACCCCTGCCGGATCTGCTTTGAGTTGGATTCCTGCCTTGAGCAGGGGGGTTGGATTGGATGACCTCAGAGGGATCCCCTTCCAACTTCAGGATTCTTTGATTCTATGGGTGATTCTATTCGTTGACAGAGAAACCAACCTTTCATACTGATGCAAAAACCATACCCTTGTGTATCTTGTGATATAGAAACTTATAATCAGAGAATCATGGAAGGGGGGCCTCTAAGGCCATCCAGTCCAACCCTCTGTTCAAGGCAGGAATCCAGATCAAAGCAGATCCAACAGAGGGTGGTCCAGTTTTCTCTGGAAAGCTGCTACAGCGCTGTAGTGCTCACCTCCTCTCGAGGTCATGGGTCCCGTTGTCGTACCGCTCAAACAGTTAGGAAGTTTTTCCTGAGATTCAGCCGAAATCTGCCTTCCTGTTGCTTGAGCCCATGGTTGCGTGTCCTGCACTCTGGGAGGATCAAGGACAGATCCTGCCCCTCCTCTGTAGGACGACCTTTCAAGTCTTTAAAAAGATCTCTCCTCTCTCCCCTCCGTCTTCTTCTCTCAAGGCTAAACAGGCCCAGGTCTCTTTTCTCATATGCCCTCCACTGGTTTCTGATTGAGGAACAAGCGCCCTCCAAAGGGTCCCACCCTGAATATCCCTGCTCAGGTCTTGCAAACTCAAGGCCAGTGGCTTCCTTCAGCAAGCTACTCCATCTCCCATCTGGCCTTCCTCTTCTCCTGCTGCCTTCCACTCTCCCCAAGCTGCCCTGGTGGTATCGTCTGTGTTTCTGCATGTGCAGTTAAGATGGAAGTCCGTATTGCCTCCAGGTATAAGTAAGAAAGAAACCTCGAGGAAAGCCATTAAATAGAAATAGGAAGGCACTTATGTTTTGAGTACAGAATTTGCAAAATCTATGTATTTAAGACGCGTAAAACCACGATGACATTGAGAAATGTCAAGGGGGTGACGCCTTGCAGGAACTTTCCCTGAGATTAGACAGTTTGTTGATGTTGGTGTCGTGTTTTGCCTCCCGAAAACACCTGTGGCGTGAGAAACAGCTGCCATTTGGTTGTTAGTCTTGGGTGGCTTTCCTGGATGTTAACATCTTGACAGAGCTCCAAAAAAAAGATGGGTCAACCTGTCAGCAAGTGGCCAGGAAACCAGCTGAGATTTTTTTACACTGAATCCTGGCCCTTTTACAGCCTTTCCCGAGACCAGGAGAAGCTGCGCATGAAACCTCTCTCAACCTCAGGCTTTATTCTGAAAGCAAAAGCTTAAAAAAATGGAGGGTAACTTCTTATGGGTCGCAAGAGTTTCCCGTTCTCAAAAGTATAGCGGAGTTTCTTCCAAACCTTTCCCAGCTGCAAAGCACAGCTCGGTGGTGCTGCTTACGGTCCGACGATCTAAACCCAGGATATGCTGAATTTAAATCGGTGCTGCCTTCTTGCTGCTTAATTCTCTAAAAAGCTACGAGAACAGCCGGAGTGAGTTTTCAAAGATTCATTCGCTCGGCAGAGGCTGCCTTCTCGAATTGGGTGTTGCTTGGCTTTTATCGACTGGGGTCCTTTCCTGATTCTTATTCCCATTTATCTTTGGTCCTTGCTCTTACTTCCCACCCATCCTTCCTCCCAAGAGTCAGGATCCCCACCCGTGCAAGGAGGAGAGAAGAAAAGAACTAAAAACACTCACTACGTGGACAAGGTACGAGTCGAGACTCTGACATCACGGGGCAGTGAATTAACTCCAAGTTTTATCCTGACTTTTACAGGAGCCCTCCAAGCTGATAGGCTTTTATTCCTGAAGCTGGCTCCAAACCTGAAATAGCGCTATTTCAATCTGAACTTTCCAGGAGCTATGCATAGCGCTGAATCGCTTTATCACCCCAGAGATTTAGCACCATGGAGAGCTCTTTAAAGTCAGTTTTAACATTCTCCCAAGCTCTGGAAATTGGCGTGTGCGTGTGGAACCATCCCGCTTCCTGAAATACTTCCATCCCTTTATCCCCTTTATAAACCGGAGCTCCTTTCCTCTACCCTCCTCATCTCTCCTTCCTTGTGTGTTAATGTCTCAAGTTTTAAATGGGCTGCAGGGACTCATTCACTCCATATCTTGATGAGCGTTAATTTCTGTTCGTTAGAGGAGGACACTCTCCTTGGATACCGCACACAGTGGTCAAGCTGGTTCAAGAAGAAGAACTCAAGATCCATCTGTCCACTCACCTCCACGCTCCAATAATAACATCCTTAAGGATTTTTCTTTTAATATTTTTAATATTTAAATGGGCTGCAGGGACTCATTCACTCCATATCTTGATGAGCGTTAATTTCTGTTCGTTAGAGGAGGACACTCTCCTTGGATACCGCACACAGTGGTCAAGCTGGTTCAAGAAGAAGAACTCAAGATCCATCTGTCCACTCACCTCCACGCTCCAATAATAACATCCTTAAGGATTTTTCTTTTAATATTTTTAATAATTTTCATAACCCATGCTCTAGTAATAACATCCTTAAGGACTTTTCTTTTAATATTTTTTAATATTTTCTAGAATCATGGAATCATAGAATTAATTAAGTTGGAAGGACCCTATAAGGCCATCAGGTCCAACACCCTGGTCAAGGCAGGGATACAAATCAAAGGATCTCTGACGGGTGGTGGTCTATATGTCTCCTGAAGGCCTCTAGTGCTGGAGCGCTCACCGCCTCCCTTGGTCAAGGGTTCCATTGTTGTACTGCTCTAACAGTTAGGAAGTTTTTCCAGACGTACAACCGAAATCTAGTTTCCTGTCCCTTGAGCCCATGGTGACGTGTCCTGCACTCTGGGATGATGGAGGACAGATCCTGCCCCTCCTCTGCAGGACGACCTTTCAAGTCTTTGAAAAGTGCTCTCCTCTCCCCCCTCTGTCATCTTTTCTCAGGCCCAGTTCTTTCTGTCTTTCCTCCTTCTAGGGCTTGGTTTCCAGCCCCTGATCCTCCTTCTTGCACCTCCTCTGAACTTGCCCCAGTTTGTCTGCATCCTTCTTGAAGTGCGGTGTCCAGAACTGGAACACAGGACTCTAGAAGAGGCCTAACCCATGCCAAATAGAGGGAGATCAGCACCTTGCGAGATTCGGTTTCTTTTTCTGAGGTGCAGGACTTTGCATCTAACCCATGCCAAATAGAGGTGGACCAGCAGCTTGCGGGATTCGGTTTCTTTTTCCGAGGCACAGGACTTTGCGCTTATCCCAGTTAAGTCTCATCCTAATTTTCACCCCCCCAGGCTCCAGCCTATCCAGATCATTTTGACTTTCGTTTCTGTCTTCCAGGGTGTTAGCTATTCCACCCAATTTTGTGACCTTCACAAATTTGATTAGCACCACATTTCTGTCTGATGAGCTGTTTCCCCTGATCCAGGTCATTTTAAAAAAATGGTGATGAGCGCTGAGCTGTGGATAAGTGAATTAGTAGATACTGATCTCATGGATAAAGGGGTCATATCATACTCCATTCTTTTTCCACCAGCTCCGTCTTCTCGGCAACCTGTTGGAACAGCAGCTGATGCATGCCTTTCCTGACCCCCAGTGGAATGCACTTAAAAACACTGCCATGCTGTGCCATGTTTGGGTCAAACCTTTAGCTACTTGATGGGACAAAACTCCATATATTTCAAGACTTCGGCAACTCGGCGGGCTGTCTTTCGGTCAGGCAGCGACGAGAACGAGGGACACATCGTTCAAAAACGGGATTCAAAGGCAACCAAAAATGAATGTGCTCTTATGGCCATTGTCTGATTCAGCCGCGAAAATTGTAAGTTGGAACATTTCAGGCAGATGACTAATAGGTCGAGAAAAGAAAATCAAGAAACAAAGCAAAGTAAACAGAAAATACCGGGTGGTACAAAAGAAAAGCAAATCATCTCAATTAAGTTCAACAAAACCTATTACCAAAAATAGCTCTGTCGTCATTAAGGGGATAATAATAATAAATAAATAAATAGATCTAACAGTTCATGAGTGACAGTCCCGTAATGCTAAATAGTCTTCCTGGTTCTTTGTTATTTCTGAATAATCTTGGCATCAGTCACTCGTTCTTTCTCTTTTTTTAAAACAGCTATTCAAATGGAAAATAAACAAGCCACCAAAGTTAAATATAATTCTACTCTCCCAGCAGGTTGACCATACATTGATTCATGTACCTGGGGCCCCTTGCCACTAATGTTTTCAAATTTCGTCTAAGATTCAAAATATTATGTTCAAGCTGAAGTCCAAAGATATCATAATGAAGTAGCCGGTTCGAGTTGCAAAGCAGAGTAAAAATATTTTTCTAAGCCTTAAAAAGGGTTCCCTCGCGGCCATAAATCCTGTAGGAATGTGCAATGTCCCCCTCCAGTGATCACGCCTGTGTATTGCAGCCTGATTTTCTTTCCTACGGGAAGACCAAGGGGCCTGCTCAGTGTCTCTCTCTGGTGGCCGTGATGGTGTACTGCAGTCTGCCTTGTTTCCAGCTTGCACTACAGAGGCACCGCCGATGGAAAAAGAAACTCTACAGAAAATTTAGTCATCTGGTAGGAAAGAAGGGCATGCCAGATGTTCCTTCCCAGGAGGAAGACACTTTTGCATAAGGGTTAAAAATAGGAGGCTGTAGTAACCAGGCATGGCCACAGGAGGCAGACACTAGGCAGGCACTTAGGATTTTCCATAGGAAAGAATGGGCGGGTGTTTTTTCCATTGCAAATTAAAGGAGGCTGCAGTGACCATTGCGAGTCCACAGGAGGGCGACAAAGAGCAGCCTTTAAGGATTTTCCATAGGAAATAACAGGAGGCTAACTTATTTCTATGGAAAATCCTAAGAGGCTGCTCTTTGTCTCCGGTGGCTACACCTGGTTACTGCAGCCTCCCATTCTCTCCTATGTAGAATAATAAGTGCTTGCCCAGTGTCTCCCTCCTGTGGCCCCACTTGGTTACTGCAGCCTCCCATTCTTGCCTATGTCCTGTAGTGTAGAATAAGTGCTTACCCAGTGTCTCCCTCCTGTGGCTCCACTTGGTTACTGCAGCCTGCCATTCTTTCTCAAGTGACATCTACAGCCCAGTGTCTCCTTCCCGTGGCCACACCTATGCACTGCAGCCTATCATTTTCCCTATTAGAAGACAACAGTGCCAGCACAGTGTCTCCCTCCAGTGGCCATATTGGTGCACTGCACCCACCCAATGGAAGACCAAGGTGCCTGTATTGAGCCACAAAAAACACTTATACACAGTAGGTTTCTAGTGAGTCCTATTTAAAGGTTCCCCCAATTTTTTGAACCATGAATGTTTAGTGTACCGATGAACTTTGGGGTCAGGAGGTCTGGGTTCGAATCCACGCTCAGTATGGAAACTGTAACAATGTCAGGGGAAGAACCATTCCATTAATATCTCACCTGCATTGGTACCCTGTGGGGGAGGGAGGGGTCCCCATAATTTGGTTTTGACAACTGCACATAACACAACACACACAGAAAAACTATGGTCTGCAGGCAGTACATTTACTGGGTGTGGGGAGACACTCACCTGTTAGGTTGGTGGCTCTTTTCTTTCTTAAAGGTTTAGTCTCCCAAATTATGATTTCCAAGGTATTTCTTTGGTGGGTTGTTAGGTTTTCCTTCTGCCCCTTTTCAAACCCCAGAATAGTGTAACAGCTGCATTCCAAATCTCTCGGACTACATTGTCCTGCACCCAAACCTTTCCTTGTTTTGAGCAGTGCAGGAATTGTACCTCGTAAATGGAAAATCCGGAATCGCTGATGTTCTACAGCCACACTGCAGCTTAGTTCTTCTAACCCTTTCCCTAAAATGTATCTCCTCCTCCTCCTCATGGCTTCCAGTGGCAGTCAGTTCCACAGGTTAACCCTGCACACTTTTTGTCAGAAAGCCTTCCCAGGGAGGTAAATGGGGCTCGGAAGAATATAACCAGCAAGTGGTTTCCAAAGAAAAATCTTTCGTGGTGGCTCAACCTTTCCGACCCATTGACTTGACGCCAAAGCAGAAGATGTAGAATTGATTCATGAGAAGGAATTAGAACTCAGATCAGCCTTTTTGCCTGCAATTTTTTTAGAGGCCTCCTCCAAAATTGGGCTTGTCCAGGCAGCATTTAATAACCTCCGGACTCCAGAAGCCACCTCCGATCCCATGAATTCTCACTCACCTCGGTGGAGCCTGGAGTAAGTGCTCGGGTGGATCAGAGCTGCCCCACGGCTAACTTCTTCCTCTGGCTGGAAACCCCACACAGGTGGGGCAGGGGTTATTTAAAGCCTATGCTTGGGGAAGACCCAGGTGAGAAGCTTATGTGGGATGGAGATGCCGAAATCTCAAGGGGGTCCCCAGGTAGGTGGAAGATGGTAGCCCCAGAAAGACAGTGCTGGAATAATCTATGAAATTAATATATTTTTTTAAAAAGAGGGGGGGGTTCATTCCCTAGAGCAAATACTCAACTACCACCAAGGTGTGTGTCAAAAAAGAAAATAGAAGAAGCCATATTACCACCACCACCACCCCCGTGGAAATGCCAGAACGGAAGTTTGAATACTTGCTTTCTTGAATCACTGGGTTCACAAAGCCATCGTTCACTCAATTAATTGTGGATTTTCTCCTCTATAGAGAAGTTTGGAGACCTCGTGGTTCAGATATATAACTCAGCACAGCCCGGTGAGGTACCTGGTAAGTCCTGCTCCACTGAGTTTTATCAGGATGCGGGCTGGGGGGGGGAGTTTTAAGGATGTTTCCCGCCCCCCCTAAATTTCTTGCATCCATCTGGCTTCCCAGTTTCGGAAACGGTGCGCTGAGTTATGTGGTTTCATCCGGCGAGGTTCACGCGTGGCGTTGAACCCGTGGAAAGGAAAACCCCAGGCTCCAGGGGGTTAAGGGTGGCCTTTGGGGACTACCCTTCCCATGAGTCTTTAACTTCACCTGGCGAAAGGGAATTGCCATAAAAATGTCGGGAGGTCGATGCTTGCCCCTCTTGGCCTCAAATATTATCATGCTTTTCAAATGCTTTCTTCAATAAACATTTGAAGCCGACCTTAGGAAAGGCTGCGCGTTACTTACAAGTAATCTCTATGAGCGGACTGAGAAATGAAGCTTCCCTAGGCAGGAGCAGTCTACCCTTTGCATAAAGGACGGGTTGGTTTCGCCGGAATGCAGAAGAAGCTTTTGAAAAGCATTGAGGGGAAAAAAATTTTTTTGCTCTGCATCTCCGAATGCCAGCGGCTGTGTCGATTCCAGAGTCATGGGAATCGTAGTCTAAAGAAGTGTGTGTGTGTGTGTGTTTTAACTGATAGAGTAAAAGGGAGGAGAGGGAATTTCTCTGTTATTCTCAAAATCTTTGGCTTGCTCCTCGAGCGAGGGCGGGGCATGTTGCTATGCCGGCTCTGGCCCGGGTGTTCCCGAGTACTGAGTTCGAGTTCTGTAAGATGAATGCTGAGAACCTGGTTTTCCACACATTTTTTCTTTTCTTTTCTTTTCTCTTGCACTTCTCAGCTTCAGCTCCTTCAGCAGCTCTTCCGCTGGGTTCCTTTCGTTCGACCTTTGGGGGCCGCCGCCGGCCAGCCAAGAGGGGCCCCCGCCTGCTCTCCGGACCGGCCCGTCCGACATGCCAGGAAGCGACTGGGGACCCTGGCCCGGGTCATCCTCGCCTTCGTCCCGTCCCAGTTCCTGCAGACCTTGGGCCGTCTTAAGACCCAGAGGAAAAGCTCTGCCCCAGACGGTAAGAAACTGCAAAGAAAGCATTCTCCACACGCCAGACAGCCTGCTGTCAGAGACTACGAAGCCCAGAAATCTCCACAACTGTACTTTGGGGGATTATGGGAGTTGTACTCCCCGAAAAGTAGGTTCCCTAGAAGTTGAAGCTTATAGACAGCCTTCCTTTCATTAAAATTCTTATAACGTGGCTGCCGGAAAGGCTGTGGGATTTTTTTTGTATGTGTATGTATTTTTTTGGCCTCTAACTCAACTCGGGAGCCCTTGAGGTTCTAGGAAAACAAGCATTAAAAAAGGGATTTCCATTCTTGGTGGTGGTGAGTGCTAATTCTCCCCCCCCCCCCGACTTGATGATCTCAGGATCCCCTTCCAGCCCTATATAGTAGGATGAGGATCAGTTCCCACCCCCCTGCGGATGCTGAAAACTGCAGATAATAGTGGATCCTATTTTAATAACAAATGCTATACCGAGAGTGGTCTCTGGCGCTCTCTAGCAGCCAGTTCTGGCAATGACATTGGTGGAAATAGATATTTCTAGGATGTTTCTTTTAATATTTTAAATATTTTCAGACAGGTGGGGCAGGGGAATAAGTGAATCAGTGGATACCGATTCCGCGGATACAGGAGTCCAACGGTACTATGATTCTGTATTTTGGTAGTGTAGTTTTTCTGCCTCTGCTCCCACACCATATAAGCCTTGTGACCTTCCCCCCCAAGTCACACCAATCTGATTTAAGGAGGCTCTTAAACCCCCTTTTTTCTGTAGAGACCCTGAAAAGCCATGTCCACCCGGCCGGCAAAGGGTGCAAAAGGAAGCAGGAAGATCTTCTTCTGGAAGAACAGCAGTACTGGGTGGAAGCCCTCCTGGAAGACCTGCCCGAGGAAGACGACAGGGACGATCCCACCTACGAGGTACTGAAAGACCCGGAAGAGGAAAGATGCGGTGGCCCATCGTCCACTGAGCAGCCCCCGAGGCAGCCAATTTGGCAGCGGACCCCTGGGTGACGTGGTCTCCGTTTCCTGAGGCAAGAGGGTGTCGCTGCCTTTGTTTCGGGCCTGGGCTGAGCTGAGTCTCCCAGCTGCTGCTGGACTACAAATTCCATTGCACCCACCCCCAGCCAAGGGTTGGGTTCTCCTGTTCCAAACTCCTCGCCAGGCGGCTGAACATAGGCATCCGCGAGTTCCGTTTTGGAAAAGGAGACCTCATTTTCCAGTTTAGGCGAGAAGGAGGATGGGCTTTGTGGTCACCAGGAAAGCCCGGCTGGATTGGGGATCGAGAAAAGCCCTGTGCCTTGCCGTGGGCGGGGGGCTACCCAGTTTCTCCCCTTGAAAGCCCCAAATTGGGGGGAGGGCAGGGCTCACTTATTTCCCACCGTTGCACCCTAGTCACAAACAAGTACAGGGCTGACATCTCCTGAACATGGAGGCTCTACAGACCCGGAATGCATTTTAGGCATTAAAACCTGACCATTTTCATGTAGGGATTAAAACAAAGGTCACCAAAGCCAGATGGGGCAGCCGTGGGGGGGGGATAAAGTCCATAAAATGCAGCAAAAGTTAAGGTTCCTTAATTTTCACTCAAATCACGGTGGCTCACGTCCTGCTTTAATCTCTAGATCACCTTTCCTGGGTGGGGTGGGTGGGAATCCTGCCAGATCTCCTTTTTGGGGCGGGGGGAAGCCGGTTCTCTCCTCCACCTCTTTCTGCCCGCAGCCCACGAAGTCGGAAACCGACAGCGAGGAGTATCGATCCCAAAACAGCACGGAGACGGATCTGGAGTTCGAGGAGAAAAACGGCGTGCTGATGCTGAAGGAGAAACCGACCCTACAGGTCAAAAAAGGCAGGATTTGCCCAGAACTTCACTTCCCACGAAGGGCCGCCTCTCCCCACCCCATAAAACCCCCCCAAAACAATCCTCAGCATGGATTTTTTTTAAAAAATCAGATTTTGGTGGGGGGGTACTTTGCACATCCTCAGAGATGCTCTTGACATTTTAAGCCTGAGCTTTGTGGGGCCACGGACTATGCCAAGACGAGCAGATCACTTGGGCTCGGGGGTATCCAGGGGGGCTGATGGCCCGGCCGATTTTGGACATTCGGTCCCGAGGCCGAATGACGCCAGAGCCTCAGGCGGCCCATGCCAACGGGCGGCAGTTTCCAACGCTCCCTGGCTTCGGCGTGAGGTGTAAGAAGGAGACCCTCCCAAAATGGCTGGAGGGTGGAGGGTGGGCCCCCCGTGCAAATACTCTTGACTCAGTGGGTCTCCTTCAGTTGGGTTCCCCCTGCAGAGAGAAAAGCTGGGTAGAAATTAAATTGAATTTAATGATTTTTTTTTTCCCAATGAGGGACCAACCATTAAACGGCAGCCCTCGGGGCACATGTTTGTGAATGGATGACATAAAAGTCCGTGGTTCACAGCAAGGAAAGGATGATTCCACAGAAATAAATGGATGCATTGATTTTTAAATGATGGTTCCGAGTTCGAGGTCAGAACATCAGGTGTTTTTTAACCATGGCAGGCAATTCCTGACGAAGACGACAAGCGAGGAGAGACCCAAGCGGGATGCAACGAAGGAAACCCTCCAGCCTTCCAGATTTTGGGAAATGACAGGGAACGGCCCACCCCACAGGGGGAGAAGGGCTGTGGCGAGGTGGAAACTGTGGCTGAGGACGACACTGCAGACAGAGGTCCCCCGGGATCTGAACCCTTGGCCGCCTCCGGCGACTCCCAGGAACAGTGGGTCTGTGTGAGTGGAGGTGAGGATTTTTCATGGACTCTCCCTGCGAGGCGGTCTGGTTTGTACCGCAGAAGAGAGACCTCGATAGACAGTAGGACTCTCTTATCCACGGGATCAGTATCAACTCATTCACTTATCCACAGTCTGAAAATATTAAAACAAAGACCCCCCCCTATATATATATATATATATAACAAGGAAATTACCAGAACTGGCCACAAGAAAGAGCCAGAGCATGCTATGTATAGTGTTTGCTATTATAATAGCAAAAGTTATAATTCACATTTTTCAGCACCCACGAAGGGGGTTAAAGGGGAATGGCACTCTTTACATGCTCTAGGGAACGCAGCTTATTGCTTTGAATTTCCCAAGCTGGCCGGACCAACAGCGAGTGCCTGGATGGCTAAATCAGGCTGGCTTTTAAAAGGAAGTGTTGAGGTTGATACCCCGAGTGGGTATCAGGTATCCGCTCCGTAATTTTGTCCCACCTTTTTTTCAGATGACTCCAGGATGTCCCACCCAACCCTCACGTTGCCATTCAAACCAGAGCAGCTAATTGCTTCGCCTCCTTTCCTGTGGATCCTGGCCTTTCTTTATTGGAAAAAAGGAACTCAATTCCAAGGAACTTTCCTGGAACGAGTTACTTCCGATATTGAGGGTTCCAGATTCAAAACGGTTCATTAAAAAAAATTATATCAATAGGGCAGCCAAGGCCTCCCTCTAGTGGCGAACTAGGAAAACAGCAAGATTTGTTCAGCTCTCCATAACGCGGAGGTTAAAACTTATCCTATTTTAAGATGACTTTGCGTGTCATAATTTTGGAATGTTTTTCCCCATTCCAAGGCTCTTTCATCTCCCCTATGAAGCTTTTCTGCATGAGATCAGAGGTTTTCTTTCCCCCTCTCTCAGAGCCTCTAATTGGGAGAATCATCCTCCTGTAACATTTCCCAGTATGGCTGCAATGATTATTTATTTATTTATTTATTCATTCGAGCCTTTCTGCATGAGATCAGATGTTTTCTTTCCCCCTCTCTCTGAGCCTCTAACTGGGAGAATCATCCTCCTGCAACATTTCCCAGTATGGCTGTAACGATTGTTTGTTTGTTTTATTTATACCCCGCCTATCTGGCCATTGCGATCACTCTAGGCAGCTAGGTATCCTAAATGGGGATTCTGGACCTCCTAATGCACTGAATCACAAAATTCTCTCCTTAACCTCCATGAATCATACACCCAATAATGATTTTTTTTTATCCCAAATGGGGATTCTGGACCTCCTAATGCACTGAGCCAGAAAATTCTCTCCTTAACCTCCATGAATCATACACCCAATAATGATTTTTTTTCGCCTTGGCTTTCCTTATAGGGTTGGTGGCTGAGGCCACAACGTGGTATTGGCTCCTTTGGACCCAAAAAGTGGGACAGGAGGTGGAAAAAGCAATAAAGAATTAATTATCACAAATAACTGTCTTAGCCAGGCATTCTCTCCATCAAACCATCTGAGCCTTGCAATTATTCAAACTGTCTGTGTCCCCTTTTTCTAGAGTGATGAAACTCGAACGACGACAACGACCCTTTTTCCCGGCTGAGAAGTTACAAAATTGGCAAGTTACTCTACGACGCTGTCCTTTTTCTGCTCTTCCTTTGGCTGAAATTCCTCTGGATTTCGGATGTTCGTCCTCAGTCTTTCCTTTTGTTCAGAGGTGAAGATAGGTCTATCATCAACCCTTTCTTTTTGGCATTTATAATAAAGTTTTGTCTCTTTTTTTTCACATGGCTTCTTTCCTTCTTTCTTTGGCTTCTCAGTCTGGCAGTTTGCCAGGCAGGGACCAACGCTTCTCGAACGATCAATTTGTAAAACACGCACCACGAATGCGGCGAGCCGATTCCAAATTTGCTAGGAAACGGGAACAAAATTGGATAAAAACATCTCGGGTGGCTTAAGACATGAGCAAGGAAAGGGGAAAGTCATGGTTTATCACAGGAGGGAGAAGTAACCCTGTAATCTGTGTTTCAGATCCCCTTCTTTTAATTGTGCCTTGAATGAAAAGAAAATATATTTATGGGGCTGTGATTCAGCTTTCTTCTCTCTGTTCGGTCCCTGCCCTCCTGGGTTAGACTACCAGTCCCATCATCCTCCACCTCTGCCTCCTAAAACACACATTTTAGGGGATGTGAAGGGTTTTGTTTCAGTTGCCAGCCTAGCTGGACTACAAAACCTGTTATCCCCAGCTTCCGAGTGCCTTTTACCGTGTGCCTAGGCCGCCAGCCCAGACTGGTTGGTTCACCCACACTCCTCGTCTGCTGGGGACGATGGGAGGTGGAGTCGAACCCGTGCAGAGGGTGCCCACTGGCTCGGCGACATGGTTAGCACATCTGTATAAGACAGAAGGCGCCTGGCTGGGGAACTGGTGCCGATGCCCCAGTAAACAGCTGTATACTGGGAAGGAGGTGGGTGGGAAATTTAAGGTGAGTCACCGTCAGCTGGCTTGACATCCTAATTCTTGATATCTTTGGCCTACATTCTAAGGGTTTATAAATACCCTGTCGCCCTGCTTTTAAGCCGTGGCGTGGGTTTGAATCACTGGCCCACAGTCTCGGGTTACGCTTCCTCTCTTATCCTCCTTATGTCTTTGCTCGGGAATGCAGTAGCCGTTTCTGGAACCCTTGACCAACCTTGCCCAAGAATACACGTGGGGCGGGAAAATATCAGTTTTTCCTGCTCAACCCCACACCGGCACAGACTATCGCCCACCTACCCAAATTTATTTTCTTACAAAAAAGGTTTTTTTTTAATCTGGGAACATGCTATTCCGCCCTCTAGGGGCAAATCTTATGTATGGATTTGAACTTCAGGAAAAAAAGACAAATCCCCAAAGGCTGAGTTATTTTCAAGACCTGTTTGACACTAAGCCAAGCTGCCATTTTTTTTGGAGGGGGGGCTTATTTATTTGCCTTGGATCCCACCCAACACCCACATTTGCCTCCCTCAACCTTCTGGATTGCCTTCACACAAGACGGAGAGCGCGTCATCGGAAACGGAGGCCCATAAGTGTGGGATGACATCTGGTTGTCGAATGGGGAGTTTTTGTTCGTTTTGCAAACCGGGGGAGCTGACGCGGGCTGGGCTGGGGAGCCTCGTTCCCGCCGGCCCTGGTGGGCCGCCGAAATCACGTCTCTCCAACACAGATACGCTTCCTCTTCCAAATCATGGGTTCTCTGTAACATACTCTCGTCTGACCTTGGAGAAAGAGACAGCAAAGTTGGCAGGACCCAATGTTTTGCATCCTGTTTTTGCCGTGCTCCTGAACCTCCCACCTCCGTGTTGTCACCGGAATGTTTTGGGGTGACATCGCCGAGAGGCTTCCTTGCAGCTGCCTCGTTTATTAATATTTATTTTGGCTTGCCTGAGCGCTGGATGTTATTTCGGTCCGAACGGGGACTGAGTGGCTTGTCCTATTTATAAACGACCCGCAGGCCAAAGTGGTGAGATCGAGGAGGAGAAGGGGGCTGGAGGATTGTCTCATGGTGCTGCTTACAGCAACGTGATGAACCGGGAAGGTTTGGTCCCAGCATCGCGTTGGGATGATGCTTCAAGGTGAAAATATGCCCTCTGGGTGGAGACTCGGATAAAAAGGCGTCCGGATCCCAGATCACAGAACACAACTGGTCTCAGCAGACGGAGACGGAGACGAGGAAGCACACCGCAAGAAACCACGCCACGAGGAAGACCCCCACATATTTTTCCGGCCCGCAAAATGTTGTGCCGTCTGCATCTTGCCGCTCCCCGGAGCCCCCTGCCTAGCCGTGGCTTGTGGCCCCGTCCGGGCTCGCTTTTCGAAGAGCTGGAGAGGGAAATGGACGCCATGTGGGAGCTCCTGACCAGGAACTGGCGGCCCACAGCCAGCGTGAGCACCACGACGGTCCGCCGGGAGGCCAGCCCCAGCACGCCAGCGGCCGACCCGGCTGGGGCCTTTGCCGTGAGCCAAGACATGACCGGCTTTGACCCCCAAGAGCTGGTGGTGAAGCTGGTGGGGGAGAAGGTGGTGCTGACCGGGAAGCGAGCCACACAGACCCCCGAGGGCCCGTTCCGGTACGAGCTTTTCCGGAGAGAGTGGGACGTGCCAGAGAGCGTTGACCGGGAGCGCCTGAGCTGCTTCGTTTCTCGAGATGGGGAACTGCGCATCGAAGCGCCAGTGGCCGAACCTGCCGCCAGGACAGTACCCATCGAGGTCAACCAAAGGGGCCAAGCAGCTCCGGAAGAACCGCAGTCCTCAGCCGCAGCCGAAAACCGAGCCCAAGGATGAAAAGGAGAGACCGGACTGAACAGACTGTCTTTATTTTTTCAACCTCCTCTATTTGGAACTTTGGATCCGCGAATAAATATTTTAAAGTTAAGCCTCCTGTGTTGTGTTTCCTGATGTGATTTATTTCACAGCGAGCTGGGAGGGAAAGAAAGTAAAGGGGGAAGGATCAGGCAGGGTAGGAGTTAGAACGCCTCGGGAGCCCTGAGTTCAAATCCTGACTTGGGTCTTGGAAACCCACAAGGCTGATGCCAGGAGGCCCGTCATCATTTCTCAGCCTGACCTACAATCCCAGGGTTTTTTGGGGGTGGAACAGGTGGAGGAAAAGAGTCTCGAGTCCATTCATGCCCGGAGGAAAGGCAGGATAGGAAGAAAAAAAATTAAATGAGTAGTCATTTTTAAAGTCTCTGCTTAATAACCCTGCAATGAGGGGTGTTTGCATTTTCAAAATTGAAACGTCAGGTTTATTGTGTTTTTAAAGAACATCCTTTTTGGGAATTGTGATCTGACCGGCAGATCGTAATAAAGGAAGTTTTGTAATTGGCAAAATGTGGAAAGGCTTTTAAGGTGACATTTTAAGCCCCCCTCTGAGCCCAATTTGAACCCGGCACTTTTGCCACTTGGGCGTCTTAAAAACACCGTAAAGACACGATTTTAATATCAAATTTTCTCAAAAACCTCCCCCCCCCCATTTTTAGTAACAAAATCCCTAAAGGAGAGACGCGTGATCTTTTAAAAAATTGCAACATAAATCTTGCATGTTTTAATGGCCCCTAACAAGAACCATCTTGGGTTTTTGAACCAAATTCCCAGTTTCGCCACTTGGTGGAGCTGAGAGCAAAGGGGGAAAATCCATTTCTTGGTATCAGGCCCAGGTTTATAAATGATGCAACGGAGTGTAAGAGAAATCCAGAACTTTCGGCTAACTCCTGATTTTTTTCTTTTCTGCCAAGGAAGACCAAGATTTATGCCGTAGGAGAATGGGTTTGAGACCCTGCTTCGTTTTATATCTATGGGAACCAAAGCCTGGTCAAGTTGTGGGGGAGGGGTTAGACTACGATTCCCAACATCCCCTAGCACATATGGCTCCTGGGAGTTGTAATCCAAGCAAAATAAAAGAGGCTTGCAGAAAATGGAGATGCCGGCTTTTAACTCTTCCTGCCCAGGCAGGAAAGAGAGAACTGATGTTGGTAAAATATGGGCTACCGAAGTCGATAACGTCAGGAAAAGCAGAAAGCAGCAGGAGATGAGGACATCGTGAGAGGGCTTAGCTCCCTGGAGGAATCCACAACCCCAGAGTGGGGCAAGACCTCTGCTGGACCTTCCAGAGGTGACCCGTGTCATGATGATGGCATATGTAGTCAAAGAGATGTAACCCGTTCCCATGGTCACCCTAAATCAGAAGCAAACGGATGACCCAGAAAGAGCAAATATACTTTTGACCTGCTCATGAGGCACTTAAAATTCCCAGGGCCCCAAGATTTGCTTCTCTTTTGCTTTCCCTGCAATAAAAAGCCCCCACGGAGGCTCTTAACAATTTCTTTCACGTATTCACAAATAGATTCAATGGAGATTTATGCCTATGTGTGTTTAGTTCTGCTGGTAGATTTGTAAATAAAGGATCTCTCTCCTAACCTACTTATCCATTTATCTGCCCATCCATCCTCTTATCTATCTTATCTATCCTATCCATCCATCCATCCATCCATCCATCCATCCATCCATCTATCTATCCATCTATCTGTCCATCCATCTAGCTATCTATCTAGCTATCTGTCCTTTCTTGTTTTGGAGGAAGGGGGGAGGGACCCGAGGGTGGTGGAAATTTTTCTTTTCTCTTTTTTTCGAGGGGAAATGCAAGTGCTCTGGATTGTTTGGGTTGCCGCTGGAATGGCCGCCTGCCTTCCAGGCGTTTGTGGAAAGCTCTTGCAGGGCCTTGCATCATCGCTGAACCCCAGCCAAAGCCTTCCCCCTCCTGCCGTTCACGGGAGAAAGGAGGCCGGGCCTCGTGGCTTTATATAAACAGCAGCCGGCAGGGCCAGGAAGGCAGAAGCGAGGCGGATTAGCCCAGCTGGAGGATTTTGCTACCATGGCGAATTATTCGCGCTATTTGCTGAGGATGCTTCCCTCACGACGTTGGCCGCTTCCCGGGCTCGGCTCTGTCTGGCTCAGCCAAAGCCGTCCGGCGGTCCGGCTCTTGTGGCCTCCCTCGGGCCACGGATTTGTGGCGCAGATGGTGGCTGACATGGAGCACCAGCTCCAAGAGATGGAGCGGCTGAGCCGGGCTTTCTTCCGGGCCTCACCGCTCGTGGCCTGGGAGCGGGAGAACCGGCGGCCACGGGACGTGGACTTGGAGGCTGCCACCGCAGCTGGGGCCGGCGAGAAAGATGGGAACTACCGCTTCGCCATGGACGTGGCCGGGTTCGCACCTGAGGAGATGACAGTCAAGCTGGACGGGCGGAAGGTGACCGTGGTGGCCCAGTGCCACCGGGAAAGCCACGGCGAAGAAAATGGCTCCTGGGAAGAGCGGCAAGAGCTAAGACGCGAGATTCTCCTTCCCGACGACGTGGACCTGGAGGCCATCTCCTGCTCCCTGGCATCTGACGGGCAGCTGTGCATCGTGGCGCCACGCCTGGCCACAGGAAGGGCTATTCCCATTGACGTGAAACCAGCAGTCCAGGAGACCTCTGGAGAAGACAGCCAGGAGAAGCCGAAGGACTCCTGAAACAGTGACTCCTCGAACTCGGGGCTCCTGCCACATCCACGGACTTCGGCATCTCTCAGCCCCCTGGGTTCCAGCTGACTCTTCTTCCTTGTGTGCCAATAAATGTTTATTCTTTTCCATGTGGTTGAATTTCTGCCCTCTCCTTTTCTCTTGGTGGCGGTGGGAGGTGTTGGGGTGAAACGAGGCTTATAAAATGGTTTTTTTTGAGGGGGGGACTGGTGGTCAGGATGACATTGGGCATTCCGGGTGTTGGACCACTGTTCCCATCATCCTTCACCACCCGGGGCGGATGAGATTCAGAGTCCAGAGGCAGGGAAGGGCAGGTCTTGAATAAGAAGTGGTGAAAATTGAAAATCCTTGCAAACTATGTTCAGTGAAGGGAGCATTGTATTATATTAGAAAATATTATTATATAATGAGAGCAGGGAGGGGTCGGCTCTGCCTAGGGTGGAAATCCACTTGAAACGGCTGGCCGCTGGAAGCCTCCGATACTGGATTGCTCTGAGGCTTAGTGAGCACAGCCCCCTTTTGTTTTTGAAAACAGGATGGGTCCCCCCACATCCAGAGGGGACTCCAACTCCCATTATCCTGCATGCTGGCTGGGGAGAATGGGAGCTGAAATCCGGCCATAATGTGTGGTGCAGATCTGGCCTCCCTGGTTTGGATTATTGCCGATTCCCAGGAGCTTCCCTAAATTCTCTCACCTCTCACTCTTTTTCTCTCTCCTCCCACCCCTTCATTTAAAATAGGCAGGCCCCTTCTGACCCCTCCAAGTAGGTTTGGACAACATGTCCCATCAGGCGCAGCCTGGGTGAAGAATCTGGAATACAGGACCCTCTGGAAGGCCATAAACAGCCCGGGCCCAGTTATGAACTCCTTGTTATTGATCGGTCGCGTGGAGTGGTCATTACACCCCCTCCTTCTACCTCTGAGGGTGGAAGCGTTGAGTGCCCTGGGAGGTGGCTTGATTTGAACCCGGTACTTGGAGGGAAGATTGGCTGTGACTCACGATTTTAAAATATGACCAAGACAAACAGAAAGGTGGGGGAGAAAGACCCACAGGAGGTTTTGGGGGGGCTGGGGTTAGGTTCTCTGCAAATTAAGACTCGCTCAAACCGGCACCCACCACCAGCCGTTGAAAGGAAAATCAGGGAAGGGGGGATCCTGGGGGAAACTTAAAATCAGGAATTCAAAGTGTGGGGCTGTTTGAAGATTCCCGGCGCAGAAGGCTGTCTCCGGCTGCGGGTTCAAAAGACCAGCGCGGGGGAGGGCGAAATCCTCAGCCGGACCGGAACCAGCCTCACCCCAAATGGGTCCTCTGTTCTTGGTCTGGGAGGCCTTCTAGGGCTCTGGATCAGGGGCCCCCAGCGGTTCTTCGGCTCCCCCCCCCCGTTTTCAAAATACGCGGCCGGGTCGCTCCCTTCGCGTCTGCCTCCCCGTTAGCCCTCCTGTCCCCCCACGCAGATCCCATTTTTTAAAAAAACACGAAAAGCCAGAGCCAAGCCGGGAGAAAATCTGTGCGCCCTTTAAGAAGGAAAAAAAGGCAGAGAGAGAAAGAAAGAAAAGAACAGGGGGAGGCATGGAACAATTTCGGATTTCTTTTTCCGGGCCCCTTCCACCGCCTCTCCCATCCGTCTCCAAAAGGACACCCCTGGGTCTTCTAGGTCCACTTTTCACGCCACGTGTGGCCTCTCCGATGGGAAGTTCTCATCCCCGAGACACAGCTTGCCAAGGTTCGGCTGGGGCTGTGTTGGGGGGGGGATGGGGACGGCGGAAAGCCACGCTCTGCCCCTCTCTGGCCGACCCACAAGTCCAGAGTTGCACACGAAGTTGAACAACAACCCCCCTCGTGCCGGAGGTGGGGAGAATGCAGTCAGATGGGGAAAAAGAAGAGCCGGTCGGCCCCAGCGGTCTCTGCTCTCCGGCCGGCACTAGTTTCTGGCGGCGATGACAACCGACAGGGCCACGCCGCCGAGGGCCACGGCGGTGGCGCCGAAAAGCCATTTCCAAGGAATCGACTGTGAAAAACAAACCAGAAAAAAAGGCATATTATTTTAAAAAAGCAAGATGCACCAGCTCGGTGGTGTCAGTTCTGAGCCTTGGTGAAGGAACTCGTTGAGCAAATTTTAGCGGCGAAACGCAGAAACGTTTCCCAACGAAATGAACAACCACAAGAGCCACGGAAAATTGGCACAAGGGGTCTGGGAAGTTACTTTCTAGCTGGGCTCAAAGAAGTACAGTACAGTGATTTACGGCCTAGAGGAAGGAAAAGGGGATGGGGATGAAGAATGAATAAGATATTTTAGGATACCAAAATGTCAAAAACGAAAATGTGCCGTTACAAATTTATTTAATGTTACACTCTGCTCTATTAGTGTTGCTACTCTCTGGCCATTATGGGGGTATGGAGTGAAGGAGAGTTCTCTTCCTAAGCTCTCATTAGGAGCCACTAGCCGACAAAAAGACCCGCTCCTTTTGCAAAGGGAAATTAAAAGATCAAGATGGCTGAGCCGGATGCCTCCACTGAGCTTGTAAAACTGATAGCTATGGAACTGGATTTGGGCAACCCGCCAGATTGGCACTTCCTCCTGACCACTTACCCGGGAGGATTTGTCTTTACATTTGGCCGGGAGGCCGCCAGACCCCGTGTTCCCCAGCATCTTGCGGTACATCTCTGTCTCCACGCTTTTTTGGTCAGCGTGCTTCTTGGCTAGCTTGGAAAGCTCTGTGTGGATGGTCTGCAAAGAGAAGGAGAGAGGAAGAATGAGAGATAGAGAAGATCTGTCCCATCGCATTCCCAGGAGTAGAACAGTCCTCCTCCTTCTCAGCCTCTAGGGTTTGATCTCCCACCTGTTAAAAGAACCAGATTCACCCCACACTGGTCACAAATAAACAAATCCATTCCCAACGGACATTTAAATATTTACAGCCATTCTGCTATTTAGGGTTGTCATTTACGTAGTTTTCAAGCTCGTTTTTCGAGGGTTGGCTGTATGTTGGAAGAAACCTAAGCAGGTAAACAAAACATCCCTGTGTAGCTGAAAGATGTAATACTAGTTGAGTATGAATTTTCTGGCCATGTTTTAACATGTTAAAACACACACACAATATTATTGGTGGGAATCCTATCACTCGGGGGTTTAGGGTAACTGCCTATGGAGCCAAAGGTTGGGAGTTCAAATCCCCCACTGGGCCTCCCTGACACGGGCTGGACTGGATGATCTTGAGAGTCCCTCTCTGGCTCTGCTGTTCCAAGACTCTTTATTTTTACAAATCAGAGAAGTAAATTCTCTTAAGATAGCGGCAGAAGAATGATAGAAAAACGGAAGAGCAAAATAATAATTTTTAAAAGTCTAGTTGTGTCCAAACCTTACCTTATTTGACGGCTCCAGCTTCAAGGCGGCTTTGAGAATCGGAATGGCTTCGCTATATTCCCCTTGCTGGGCGAGAACCTGCAGGAGAAGAGAGAGAAAGAACTTGAAAGGTGCCAGAAAACCACCCCTCTTGAAAGTGGGAAGCTGCCTTGGATCAATCAGATCACGGGGTCCCGTAGGGCCCGCTCAGGCCAGCAGCCACCACCACCTTTCTGATTTCCGATACCTTCCCCTTCCGGAAAAGGGCCTTGATGTTGTCCGGCTGTTGATCCAGAACTTGATTGCAGGACCGGAGGGCCGCGTCGTAATGATCCAGTTTCAGCTGCGAAGCGGCTAGGTTGTTCAAGCATTTGATCTTCACCTCTGTCAGTTCCGCCTCTTCCTCTGGGCTGAAATTGACTGCCGGAGAGAAAAAGCAGAATCACAGAAGGGGTCCGGTGAGACAGGGTCATTGTGATTGCCTACTAGGATGATGGATTTGGATGGGCACCCTATGTCACTGTGCAGTGCACAAGATTATACAGAAGAACACCCCCTTCTCCATTGAGGATGGATCCCAAGCCCGCCTGCCCTCGCAGATGATGAAAACCACATATAATAGCGACCCCTATATGCAGCATGGGAAAAGACAAAAATCCAGGGGGAAAAAAGTATTTTTCACATGTAATATCATAACTGGCCACTAGAGGGAGAAAGAGACATCAAGAATACACAGCATGCTCTCTGCCTCCCTCTAGTGACAAGTTCTGCTATCTACATCATGAAAATATGCATTTTCAGGGGTGTTTTTTTCTTTTAATATTTTTAATATTATCTAGTGACAAGTTTTGCTATCTATATCATGAAAATTTGCATTTTCAGGGGTGTTTTTCTCTTTTAATATTTTTAATATTGTCAGACAGTGGTTAAGTGAAGCTGTGGATACCAATCTTGCGCATACAAGGGTCCTACTTTTAAAAAAATTAGCATAAAAGTGCTATTCTCCATTAAGTGAAACTGTGGATACTAATCCTGTGCATACAAGGGTCCTACCTTTAAAAAATTAGCATAAAAGTGCTATTCTCCAATTTTTAAAGACCTGATATCGATTAATATCTCCCTGCTACTCAGGTCTTGGGGTGGGGGGTCTTAATCTTTCCAGGGCCGGTCACCTTTCGAACTGGAGCCGACAACCTTGAGGGCGATGTCGTAGGAGTTGACTGCCAGGACATAATCCCCGCGCTGGTAGTGAACGTTGCCACGCTCCCTCTTCCGGTTCGCCAGCTCGCTCTTCTCCTTCCCGCTCAGGAGCTCCAGATCGGGAGCATCCCGGGCCGAGAGCAGTTCCACTTCGAAGGCCAAAGAAGCATCCGGGGGAACGTCAGGACTCCTGCGAGGGCAGAGGGAGAAAGCTTTACACCAGAAAGTCGGGGATCGGATCTAAACCCCGGCATCCAGACTCCAAGTGGGTCTTGCCTTCAATAATTCATTCATTTAAAATGTGATTACCCCACCTTTCTCCTTAAAAAAGGCCCCGAGGCTCCATACCTTGTCTAAAAGCTTAAAAATGGTAAATATACAAATGTTAAAAAAAGAATTAAACAAGGATTTTATTAAAGATGGGAAGTGAAATTGATACTGAAAACACTTTTAAAAGCAACAGCACAACAATCCATTTAATGTAGGGTCTCTCTAATACAGGGATTTCAGCCGGCGTTTTGCCTTCATATTACTTGTTCAATTGCTGTTATAATTTTTTCTTTTCTTTTCATAGCTGATTTCTTGTTATGATTGTCTGTTGTGTTTCTGTCTATTGTTGTTTTCTGTCGTGAACTGCCCTGAGCGGCCTTCGGCCAGATGGGCGATATATAAATCAAAGGAGTGAGTGAATATAATAGAACTTATTTTCTCCCGGTTGGTTCGGAATCCTCCGGCTCCCACCCGGTTTGCCCCTCCCATATCCAGTACGCACCTCCCCTGCGGGCCGTAACAGTATTTCGCGTCCGAGAGGATCATCGCCGTCTCCCCCATTTCCATCAACTGTACACAGAGGTCCAGAGCCTGCCCAGTCCGGGGGGAAAATATAGAAAATTAGTGGGACGCTCTGCAAACATCACAGAGAGGAGACAGGAATGGGAACCCGAGTTGTTGGATTTAAGTCACATCAGTGACTCAACTTGGATTGTTTTTTCTCAATGACTCAAATTCAATTCATGACTTAGAACCCAGCCACGCCTCCCTTTTATTCTGGGGGAGGGGGGAAGCTTCTTTTAAATGGGAACTTGGACCTGAGACTTAGGATTTAGAGCTCGGTACCAAAGACTCAAAGACCCAAAGATTTTCCCACATCCCTGCATGGAGGTGGATTTAGAAGCGGGCTTTGATTGGAATTTCCAATGCACCGTTCACAAGAGAAGTTTCTGGCCCTCATGAAGGATGTTTATGGCTCCGGGAAGTAACGGGACATTATCCGGGCAACCCTTTCCCACCTCCGAAATGAGTTTACATACGTGGATGATATCACAGTCTCCCAGAGTGAAGGTGAGCGTCGACGCTTCTTCCACCACTGAGCCGTCTTCCAGGGTGGCTTTCAGCCGTACGGTAACATCCTGCCCCCTGACTGGCCGGGTTTCTCGGCCCTGACCAGCGACAAGAACTTTTTTCTTCAGCAACCCACTTCCTGGGGAGAAAAATCACGCAACAAAACACATGGGAGAGATCCATCCGGAAAAACCCACATGAACAGAAAAACGGCAGCCGGGTGCGGTTTTACTGGGTAGGGCAAAGCTCGGGGGGGAAATACGGAAAGGGGTCAAATGGTTTCCAGAAGGATAAGAGGAACTCCTTCAATCGTCCTTATAAACTGGTTTATGGGAGACCATGACTTTTAAGTGTTCCAACTCTTACAATATTTTAAAGCTTCTCCTGCCTCATTCATTTTTAATGGATTTTAATGGGGTGCTCAGCCAGGCCAGCGGCTGCTACTTCCCTTTTTTTAAAAAAGCTGAAAGGCAGGCAAAGCTTAACAAAGGAAAAATAAATCACAAAATCATGAAGTGAGAAGGGGGGCTCTTAAGGCCGTCAAGTCTAACCCTCTGCTCAAGGCAGGAATCCAAATCAAAGGAGATCCAATAGACGGTGGTCCGATTTTCTCTTGAAGGCCTCCAGCGCAGGAGCGCTCACCCCCTCTCCTTGAGGTCATAGGTCCCCCTTGTCGTACTGCTCGAACAGTCAAGAAGTATTTTCCTGATAGTCAACCGAAATTTGGCTTCCTGTCTCTTGAGCCCATTATTACATGTCCTGCACTGTGGGAGGATCAAGACCGGATCCTGACCGGCTTTGAATAACAGCCTTTCAAGTTTTTGAAAAGTACTATCCTCTCTCCCCTCCGTCTTCTTTTCTCAAGGCTAAAGAGGCCCCGGTTCTTTCCGTCTTTCCTCCTTCTAGGGCTTGGTTTCCAGTCCCCCTGATCCTCCTTCTTGCTCCCCTCTGAACTTGCTCAAGTTTGCTAGCATCCTTTTTACATTGCGGTGTCCACAACCGGACACAGGACTCAAGAGGAGACTAAACCATAATAGCGGGGAACTAGTACCTCATGAGATTTGGAGACTCTACTCTCAAGCCTAAAATCACAATGGCCTTTTTCGCAGCCGCATCACCCTGTAAGGCTCATAGTCAGCTTTTTTGATCCACAACCATTCCAAATTCCTTCTCGCTCGTAGTACTCCTGAGCCAAACATCCCCCACTTTGTAACCTCCTTTCCTCCCCCCAGGTGTTGAACTTTGCACTCCTCCCTGTTAAATTTCACCCCATGGTTTTCAGTCTAGTGCTCAAACCGATCCAGATGTTTCTGAATGTTGCTCCCGCCTTCCAAGGGATTCGCTAGGCCACTCAATTTTGCGTCATCTCAAAATAACTAAGGGGAAACTGAGGGAAGAGAGAGTAGGAACAAAGGGGGGAGAGAAGCAAGCTGATCTTCCCTAGTGGTTAAAGTGCAATGGGGGGAAAAAGCACGCTCCCACCTAATACGTCAAGCCACTCCGGCGAGGTCTCCGAGCTTTCTTCCGGAGGGGTGTCTGAGACAGATCCCTGGCCCTCGTTTTTGGCCTTGGCAGGGGGCACGTCCTCCAGCGGGGGGAGCCCACTCATCTCCTCATCCCTGTCTTCCTCATCTTCCTCCTCCTCGTTCTCCAGGACTTCAAAATCTTCCCCATTGTCTGTGGACGAGGTGCTGGGTTTGGCCAGCTCCGGAGAGGTCAAGTCGAGGATGCTGGTGCCCGCCCAGTCGGGAGAAATATCATCCGGGCTTCCTCCTTCAGAAGCCATGGCGCCGGCTGGCGATGGATCAGCAGAGCTGAAAATTTAAAAAATCAGGCTTGTTAGGATCCAAGCACTTCCCCTTTAAAAAATGGAACTTCTTCCCGTTACAATGATGCTCAAGAAGAAAATGCCATGCCATTAGAGCTGAAAAAGTTCTCAAGGAAAACAGACAAATTAATCTCAATTAATCTTTTAGAACAGCCCAGGAAAGTGGAACCCACAGTTCAGAAAGTTGTCTTCCATTCCACACGCAGACTGGCCTTCGAAAATTTACTGGAGTCCCTTTTCTAAATTTAGAAAGGAGTCGTACCGCAGCTCGGAAAAGTCCTGCACCTCAATTATGAAGTTAATTTATTATTTGTTATTGACGGGAAATATTTTGACCCCGCATTTCTCCTTACAAAGGACCCCCGGCCAATTTTTCATCACAAAATGGTTATGTGTGCGAATTTCTGTCTGCTTTCTGTAAGTGTTCAAGGGCTGTTGGAATTCCCATCCTCCCCTTCTGGGAGGGAGGAGCACAAAACTCAAGCTCCTCGGGGGACGATAACTCCTCTAGCAGAACACTTTTGGGTGGCCCACGGGCTGAGGTCAGTCAAGCCAGAACAGATTTAAATATATATATATTCATTTTAAAGTCGGCTGTCACAGGCTGTCAAGACAGAGGAGGAGAGGCATGGAAAAAGGTGAGACTGCAAGATTCGAACTCAGGAGCCCTCTGGCCTCCTGAAAAGATGGGAGGTCTGTTCGTGACCTGTCACCAGCAGCCATTTTGTCAGGTGAAATTTATTTTATTTACTCATTAGATTTATATACCGCCCATCTAGAAGGTGTTTACTTGGGTATAACATCAGGAGCCCTGAATGTTTAAAGAATCCAGAACACTTCATTTCCTTTTCTGTTCCATTCTTTTCAGAGAGCCAGCCGGAACGCCAGGACTCGCTTCATTATTTTTTCTCCCGGTGTTTACTTGGGTGTAACATCAGGAGCCCTGAATGCTTAAAGAATCCAGAACACTTCGTTTTCCTTTTCTGTTCCATCCTTTTCAGAGAGCCGGCCGGAAGGCCAGGACTCGCTTCATTATTTTTTCTCCCAATTTATTTCTGCTCATATCTCCGTAGAGAGCCTGACTCTTCTACCTGCCAGCTGCACGCCAGGTATGCAAACAGGAGAAACCTGTTTGTTGAGCAACAGGTGATTTAGCCTGTGGAACTCCCCGCCACAAGAAGCAAGCCGCCACGGCGTCACCCCCCCAAAAAAGGAAATAATAAATTACATTAGGATGAAAATAACAGAGAAGTTGTGACGTTTACCTGACACATATAAATGGAGGTGCTTTGAAAAGGCTTTGCTCTTATTTTTTTATACTGTAAAATGCAAATTCTATAACCACTTGGTGAATCAGATATATTATAGCTGTATAATAGTTTCAAATTTTCTAATTTTTATCTGGTTTCCTCCCAATCTTTTCCTGCTAGCGCTGAATGCATCGGAAAGATGGAGAGGGGACGAATACTCTGATCCCGGAAGCAGGATTTCTCAGAAGTAAGCCCGACTGACTCCGAGGACCTGCTTCTTCATTGAAAAAAATAAATAAATCGAGCAATAACAACAACCAAAAAGAGAGGAAAGCTTGAGGCTTATAGCCAATTTAAAGTGTATGGACCGAGATTAACTCCTGCAGCATTTGGGGATGCTGATTTTGGAGCAAACACACTTAGGATCGAGGCCATAAAAGAAAGTTTTGAAAGATGATGGGGTTTTATACATGGAGGCCCTGGGTTTTTTTATTATGATTCTTTTAAATGCAAGACTTAAAAACAAAGTGGGTCTTAGTGGTGAAATGTACGCAGATCAGCCATGAAAATCCTTGTGTTTCAGACCTTTAAAAACCCTCTCTTCCCCCCCCCTTAAAAAGAGACCCCAAACGTCTTCCATGCTCCCTAGATCTCTGTATTTATCTGTATTTATTTAGGCTGAAAAGAGGCAGGCCAGGAGGCAGGAGGGGGAGAAAATAAAATTGCAGAGGTGAAGGGGGAGAGAAAAAAATGATTTTCGTGGCCCAAACAGCAAAGGGGTTACAAAATTTGCGCATGGAGTGGGGGTTTGCCTGCACGCATACCTGGGAGACTCACAGGTCTCTTTTCCTTCTGGTTTCTCAGACCCAAACTTTACCCTTAGGGACCAGCTTGAGCAGAAATCCCTCCCTTTGCCATGGAAAAATCGCAATTAAAAGTCTATGGCTCGAATCCCTCTAAGCCAGTCCTGCCACCCTCCCAAAGATACAAACTCGGGGCATCTGATCTCCCCAAAGCTCCCTCGGGAAAATAAAAACACAAACAACTCCCAAATCGAGATCGCCCCTTAAAAAGACCCACACTTTTTGCTAGGAAAGGACTCACCTGGAGTCAGGAAGGCTCCCTGGGATCCCTGCCCCCAGGATCCTGGCTTTGGCCCCCCCACCCCAGCCCCAGTGAGCTCAGCTGACTGCAGGCGATCCCGCCGATAGGTCGCCCGGGCTGCTGGCTTGCACCCGTGTCAGCTTCGCTCCCAACCCCTTTTCGTGGGAAGGCGCAGCCCTCTTAAAGGGACCAGGAGAGGCCCGGAAAGGAAGGGAAAAACAAGAGAGATACATCAGGAGCAAGGGGAGGAAAGTAGCAATAAATGCAAAATATTTCATTGCAACAGTATTCTTTTTTTTTTGCCTTTGCAAAATTGCAACAGGCCAGAAGTGGGGAGGATTTGTTTGGCTGTCCGGCCTGTTTTATGTTTCAGTTGATGGGGTGTATAAATAAAGTATTTTAAAGAAATACAACATCGTTAGAAACAAACAAACAAAAACACAGAGCATCCACATCTAGTGGATTGATCGGTGGGTTCGCAGCGCGGCAAGGTTTTTAGAGCATCTAAACCTTGGCAAAAGCCCAGTATCTTATATACACCCCATAGATAATCTAAAAAAAAAATCTATGGGGTGTATATAGACAGTCTAAACCTCATGAGGTTTGGATGTGTGCTCTGTGGGTTTTTGTTTTGTTTCCAACGACGTTGCCTTTCTTTAAAATGTTTTATTTATTTCAGCAATAACACACACACACACACGTTTTGGAGTGTATCTGGTGGAGAAACAGAAGACACCCTTCCAACGATGTTGCCTTTCTTTAAAAATTTTTATTTATTTCAGCAATATTTTTTCAACTGGCTTTTAAAAAATATATATGTGTGTCTTCTTTGTTTCTCCACCAGATACACCCGGAAATAATAAACTTAAAGCTATTTTGGCATCAGGTTCCGAGCCGTCCCATTTGATAAAGATTTTGGAAAGGAATAATTTGTAAAATGAAGCAGAGGAAATTAGCAGAGGCCTGAGTTGTTTTTTTTTTGGGGGGGGAGATGGGGGGCTATTTCGAGGGGGGATTGGCTGCAGCACAGTGTATGGCTTATAACAACAACAACAAAACAACAACAACAACAACAACACAGCACTTTTGAATTGAGCTAGCAAGCAATGAGCCAGCCATAGGGTAGTGCAGTTACAGGCACTGAATAGGGATCCCTGGCTAAGGTAGATGGGCTCTGTAGTCCAAGAAGATTTGGATGGCTTGCATCTTCTGGGTGCAACTGAATTGCAAAACCCATCATCCTCCCCAATTTCTAGGGCCGATGGATACTGCAGTCCGGAGGCTTAGGCCTTCCCCACACTTTGTTTTCTGCTGCAGGCAATGGATCCTCCCTGTTCAGAGGAAGTCTCTAACTCTCCTAAGTAACCGTAGGCAGAAAAAACGAAACAGCCCCAAAGTTGGGAGTCTGTTTGGCTTGAATGGAACAGACCTTTGCCCTGATCTAAGGCTGGGGGAGTGGGGGGGGGGAGAATTTCTTAGGTCTGTAAAGAGAAATGCCGACGTAGGATTACTCAGCACAGGCCATTAAGTTATGTATTAACCAGAAAGACATTCCCAGGATGTAACTTTTGGCTTTGTATATTTTAAAACAGATCAGATATTTATACAGTATATATAAATATAGATGGAATTGAAACAGGAAATATTTCAGTTTCAAGCCAAAATAAAATATACTTCTGCGAAGCATTGCAGACCTGCAATAGAAAAAGCACTCAAAACTGAATTACGGTAAACAATATGCCATTAGTAAGGGGATTATTTTAACTCTGCATTTCTGAATGTCCAAGCTTATTATGCGCATGGTCTACTCTCAGGTAAGGATAAAGAGAAAGGAAATATTAAAATATATGTCGAATACTAATCCATACGCTATATTTTAGGGGAGACTGCAGTTTAAAAAATAAAAAAATGAGTATTTGCTTGGCCCTTAGCATCTTGATCTTGAGATTTCCAGATGCTGTTGTATTTTTATTCATTATTTTGTTTATAACATACAGTATATTCCCACAGAGAGGTGTTGATTTCTCTGTCATGCATAATAACACATTAAAAAATCAAAATAAAAGCTCTAAAATGGATTGGTGGTTGAAATCCAGAGAGCAGGGTAGAAGCCTGTGTCTAATGCATGCATGCTTTATTGGAAATAAGTGTTGCCGAGTTAATTTAAACCAGCCTTCACGGATGTCCGTGGGTTAAAATAAAATAAAAATTGGCAGTGAAAATATTAATACAATCAAAGGGACGGCTCTGAAACCGTCAAATCCAAGCAATAAATTGAAATAACGGCATAAAAACAGATTCAAAACTATTGATAGAAAGAGAAATGCACTCTGTTCATGCCCAGGAGGCTAGTTCTGGTGCTTTTGAGTGTGAACAGGGGAGGCCCTCTGCACATGCTCAGAAGCCCAAGAGAAGAGCTCAAGGGTGTATTTTTCTTGCACTGTTGATGTAGAAATTTACTCTGCTTTGTCTGCTGCACTCTGCACATGCCCAGAGACCATGGAGGGATTGCTCCTGAGGATCTTGATAGAGAAAAGCACTCTGCACATGCTCTGGGTTGATAAGGAAGGCCTGTAGTCCTTCTTTTCCCGCCTATGGGGGAGGAATTGAGCTCTGCACATGCTCAGAGACCCTGTGGAGCAGCTTCACCCGTATCTCTTTTGATGGGGAGGGAAAGGCTCTCTGCACATGAGCAGTAAACCTGGACTCCCTTAGATCTAGCTTGCTTAGGTGTGTACTCTGCGCATGCTCAGACCCCCCCCGCGCCGCAAACGCTCTCCTAATAGGCCGCGCTCTTGGGGGGCGGGGTCAGGATTTCTCTACCAATCACAGTTCAGAGGAGACAGGTCCTGGGGAGGAACGCGGAAGACGCCTCCGTTGCCAAGGGAACCGGAAAGGCGGGCACACGAACGTTACGCAAGCGCCGTCGCGACGCAGGCGAGCAGAGGAGGTGCGCTGGCCACGCATGCGCACACGCGGCTCTTAACCCGGAAGTGAGCCGTTGGCTGGTCAGCGCCGTCGGTTGGAGGCAGCCCGAGGCGGCGGCGCGGAGGAAGGGAAGGGCTCGCTTTCGTTCCCCGCCCGGCCCGCCCGCCCCGGGCCGGCATGTGAGCCTCTGCCTGGGGAGGCCCGTCCAGGTAGGCCCCGGTGGATGGGACTGGGAGGGGCGGGGGCGGGGCTTACCTCCAGTGGTGGAAGCGGCCTGTCTTCCAGCGAAAGGGGCGGGGCCTGGCGGTGGGAGGAGTCTCGGGAGGGGAGGAGCTGCTTTGGAGAAGGGGGGCGATGCTGCTGGAAGCAAACGGGCGTGGCTTTTGCTTCACGCAGGGGCGGAGCCTCTCTGAGTGGGAGGGGCCTTGGGGTGGGGAGGGACTCTGCCTTAGAAAAGGCAGATTTCTGGGATTCCTAAATCCCACAGTCCCCCACACTGGGGGAATCTGGGATTTGGAGTCCCCAAAGGACTGTGACCCAAGGGAGGCCCTAAACTTAGAAAAGGCAGATTTCTGGGACTCCCAAGACCCACAATCCCCCGCAGTGGAGGAATCTGGGATTCGGAGTCCCCCAGAGTAAAGATTTCCCTGGGAGGAGACCCTGCTGCTTTCTAACATGGGGAGGATCTGGTAAGAGTATAATTTTTGGCTTCTGTGTCTTAACACCTCTCCCTTCTCCCCTCTGCTCTCCATGAGCAGGCTGGAGTCCCCCCCAGCGCCTACCATGGAGCCCACCGCCTCGGGCGTCTTCTGCAACCGGGTCCTCAGCATGGTGAACTCTGAAGACATCAACGCCATCATCTTGGCTCAGAAGAACATGTGAGTGCCCCGTCCTTGCGGAAACTCCCCAAAACTCACAAACCCTCCCGGCTCGTTATTGAAAATAACGTCTGTGAATGTTTGTCCCTCCAGGCTGGACCGCTTTGAGAAAACCAACGAGATGCTGCTGAACTTCAACAACCTCTCCGGCGCCCGCATGCAGCAGATGAACGAGCGCTTCCTCCATCACACCCGGACGTTAGTGGAGATGAAGAAAGACCTGGACAGCATCTTCCGGAGAATCAGGTACCTCCGGACGCTTTGGCCAACCCTGTCCCGCCTCTTCTGGGGAGCAGAGGGCCAAGGGGTGGTCCCAACGCTGTTTGAGGCTGCGCTCTCCATCTCTGACTTCTGAGTGGTTGTGATGGAACCAGGATTCTCCTCGCCCAACCCTCCTAAGATTTTCCAGCTTCACAGAGATCCTGAACGGGCAGGCATATCCCCTGATGGTTCTACCCTTCTTTATGAACTTAGCAGCCAGATGGTTTTCCATCTGAATTTTCCCAGCTCTCAGTGAAAGCATTTTTGAGATAGCCTCGCTGGAACCCACTTGTGAGCGCAATGACAAATAAATTTCTTATGTCTTATGTCTATCTAGAGCCTTTAACTTTGCCAAAGACCAGCTCCTGCTGGAGGGATAAATTGGTGGTCTAGTGACATGCATGACTCGGTTTCCTGCATTTCCACAATTATTACCAGAGCCCACAATTCAAGATTTATCATCCCATCCCTGTTTCGAACTACTTCATGCTTCTGCAATTTCCATCTTGTGCTTTGTTTTGTTTTCTAAAATTTAGATAAGTCTTCCCTTTCTCCATCTTTTTTCTTTCTTTTTTTCCAGGACATTGAAAGGGAAGCTAGCTAAGCAGTATCCTGATGCATTTAACAGTGAGTATATGCCCAGCCGGAATGGATCCAACTATCATTCTCTCTGACCACTTTTGAGTGTTGCATAGCAAGTGTGGGCAGAGCAGAACGCCTAAGTGCCATGAGTTACCCTATAATGAACTATTCACGCTAAGCAGGCATGTATAGAACACATCCCATAATAGTTTCTGGTCATTCCGGTTCCAGCAATACAAGCAGTACTGTTTTTTTAATGTCCTTCTCATGTGGCTATGAATGCTAAGTATTGTTTTAATCTTTGTTAACTACCCTGGTCAATTTTGCACAGATTTCTTCTAAATTCCAAGTTAATGGGTCATAATTGTGTAAATTAAAGGAAAATTTAGAAGGAAAGAAAAGTAGTACACTATGATATTTCCCCCCAAGCACTTTTAAAAAATTATTTAAAACATTCTTGTAAAGTTTTTTTTTTCAGGTTGATTCTTCCACATCATCAGCTTGAGTTGAGAGGTAGCGCTTCTGTCTAGTTAGGAAGTTAGCACTCAAATTAGAATGGTGTTTCGGTGCCATCCTTCACCCTCCTTGTTCTGCTTGGCGTGACGTTCATTCTTTTTCTGCCTACCCCTCTCTGTCTCCTGTCCAGATATTCACGAATCTCCCATTCTGGAAGATGATGACTTCAGCCTGATCCCCCAGAGCACGGCCACCACCATCCCTACCTCGGAGCAGAGCACCGAGTCCTGTGACACCAGTCCGGACGTCATCTCTCCCGCCACCAGCCACGACTTCGAAGACCTCTCTCAGGGTCCCTACGACTCTCCGACGGTGAACGGGCAGAGCGTCACGGACGAGGACAATGAGACAGACTAGCTTGCCCCAGATCCTTTTGGGGCAGGGGCCCAGGAGGGCCTCTCTGCCCTGCTCTTGGACATGCGTGTGAGAGATCTTCTCATTCAGAACAAAACCTGTATCCTCTCAATGTCTTGGCCAGCTGCATCGGGGCCTGGGGAAAGAGCACAGATGCGGCGGCTTTTGCATGACCCACCTTTTTTCCTCGCGGTGCTGAGCTCTGATTTATACCAAATAAGCAAAACCTGGGGCTGGCATTTTGTCATAGGAGAACCGCAGTGGTGAGAAAGGAAGAGGGAACTCCCCCCACCTCTCTCTGTAGTTAAGAGGACAGAATTTGGCTGTCTTCCTTTGAAGGAAGAGTGTGTCGAGTTTTTCCAAGAGAATAATCCCCAGGCTCGGGGTGCCTCTTTTAAGGGCTGCCTGTAAACTGGAGACCAGCGGGGAATATAGAGTGGAGATGTGTGAATTAACAGGGAAAATTCCCAGGTGTGGGTACAGCCAAGGCAAATTATGTAGCCAGTCATACATGTTAATGCCCCTGCAGTTAAGAGTTGGTGTCTCATTCATTTTATCCAGGCCGCCTCCGGATGCATGAAATTGAGCTCTTCAAAAGTGTGTGTGTTTTTTGGCTGTTGGGGTTTTTTTTTTGGCTCTGGCCCCTCGTTCCAGTGGGCTCATTTCCCTTGAGAATGTGCTTAGGGGATCAAAACCTCCCAGTGAGGACAAATAGAAACTTAAATCTGGCCAGGAATCCCCATCTGTTCTCCTGCCGCTGGGCCCGGTTCAACAGAGCCTGTCTTCCGCTTGGCCCCTCATCTCAAGCGAGGAAGGGGAAGCTGTCCAGTGGCTTGTGCCATTTCCCAAAGAATGACTCCCCATTCTGGCCACGAGGTCTCTCGCCCTCCCCAAAGCTGTTCTTTCAAGAATCAGAGCTGCCTGTATTTCCCACTGCCTGCTCGAAACTATACGTCTCCCTGGGCAAATCCTCCCTTCATCTAACAATGCACCTTACAGCGATCACATGAGGGATATATGCTTGGGCTGTCTCCTGAAGCTGCACATACCTGTTCTATGTCACGTTTGAAAATATAATCTTATTCCCCCCTCTCGGTTCCATTTCAGCCCCTTTAAGACCACCTTGAGTTACTGTAGTGCCATGGCGCGCCCGTTTTTTGTTCTTTAGTTTTTTAGCCACCGCTGGTTATACTTCACGGTCTTTTCTGTCAGATGTTGTTGTACAGCTAGGTTCGTTCCATGCTAAACTTGGGGCAGCCTGTCCTCCTTCCTCCAGTGTCCTCCTGAAATGCATTCTAATTCAATAAAAAGAATAATATTTTTGTACTGCAACACGTTTACAGAGATGCATAAGGAGGTGAGAACCAATAAAAGGTATAAGTTAATTGATAGATCTGGTGTAGCTTGCTGCGTCTTCGGATTGGAGGGCGACAAGCCTTCGAGGCCATCCTCTGTTCGCATTAAGGGTTCTGATGGAAGCCACTGGGAACCAGGGATCTTCCCAGGGGAGGCAGCTGATCTGTTGTCTGCACCAGAGCATGTAAAGAGCGCATCCCTCTGGATACGGGTGGACTGAACCGCATGGTGTGTTTTCTACCTGTCAGCCGTGCTGTACAGTATTTGGAGGCTCACTGTGGCCTCACCCTTGAAATGCAACACTTTGGGGGATTCCCGTCTGAGTGTAGAGCTTGGAAATAGCCTTTGGAAGCACTGGGTGCAATTCTACACCAGCTTTTCCCCCTCAACATGTACTGCTCTGGACAATACTCATTGTCCACCTTCCCCAGAGGGGCTGTGGATGGTGGGATTTGTAGTGGCGGACGAAACGGGGAGGAATGCAGTGTAACTTAGCAGGCTGGTGAATCCCAACAGAGGAGACCCGTTAGATCCATGGGATTGACCCCGGTCACCCTCATTCAGAGCAATGGATTCATGGCGATTTATTTATCATTGCCAGGCGGAGTGTGGAGATGAGAGGCCAAAGGTGAGAGAAAATTAACTTCCAAGGGGGCACAGAAGAAGAAAAAGTTCCTCTTTGGAAGGACTACAACCCCCATCATGCCCTCAGGCAACATGGCCATTGTAGTCCTTTAAAAAAAGAGGCTTCCCAGTTTGCCACTCTAGCCCTCCTCGTTATCCAAAAAAGATTCCGTCTAGAAATCCCCACTCCGTGGTCTGTCTCCCTCCCCGCCTCGTTCCTTTGCTCCCATTGGCTGAGGGCGGCGGTCGTTCGTCCCGCGCAAGCGCTGTCGGGTCGCGAGCGAGGGGGCGTGTCCTCACCCCGGGGGGGGCTCAAAAAATGGCGGCCGCCGGTAGAGGAGGAGGACTGGCGGCCTCGGGCGGCCCGGTGGAGGTGGCGGTCGTGTCGGCGGCCGAGGCCTCACCTGGGGCCGGAGGCGGCGGCGGCGGCGGGTCTTGCTGCTCGGTGTGGGAAGTGGGCTCCGGGGCCTCGGTGGCCGCCTACCGCGGGGCTGGCTGCGCCTCCCGGGGCCTGGCTTTGCTGGGCGGGGAGCATCTCTTGGGGGCCCAGCTGGGCAAGGCCTGCATCGGGGTCTGGGAGCTCCAGAGGAAGGTGAGGCGGGGACAAAAAAAGGGCCTCAAAATAACTCAAATCCGGAGTTTTTTTTTTTAAATGACTACAACACCCATCATCCCTCTGTGGGTTTTTTTGGGGGGGGAACAAGTGCTTTGTAGTCAATGAAAACCCCCATTTCCTTCTCCAAAGCGATGCTTCCAAGTTCTGGGAGGCGAGATGCATTTGGAGAGAAAAAAAGAATATCCCCCCCCACACACACACACATCTCGAAAAAAAGAGGGCATTTTTCTAAGCTCTGGAGAATGAAAGATGGCGGTGGATTGAAGACGGGAGGAGGAGAGAAGCGGCCTCGATTCATTGGTCCATGTGCAGAGTGCAAGGGAGGGGATGCCTAAAAAGATGGATGGATGGATGGATGGATGGATTGAGCTTTCAGACCACCCAACCATTGGGGTGGGGGCAATTTACATACCCAAGCCAACCGACCAAGACTAAAAAGAGTTTTTGCCAAAGGTATACCTTCGAATTTAATATAAATTAGTGTCTATAATTTAAGCACTTATCCTCCATGAAACAGTGATTTGTTTCCTGTACTTTCACCCAGGAAGATTTCCCACTTCTTCCCATTACAGAGAAGGCTCGCTTCTTACAGCCCCAATTTCTTATTGTTAACTTTGTTTCCTATGGGAAATAAAAAGTTACTTTCCTGTCCTTCCCCCCAATCAGAAAAAAGATTTTCATCTCTCCTTTAAAGTCCTCCCCCCACAGTTTCCATGATACAGTATAATTATCCCCATTATCTCTTAGATGGGCAGACTGAGGCTTAAAAAAAAAGGGTCTCAGATGGGATTTCTGGAACCTTTTTTTTGGTTTTAAACAAATCTCTCCACCCACACTCCAGAAATGGCAGCCACCACTTTCTTTCCTGTTTTATTCTTCCAAAAAAAGATTTATCTAAAATGTTTTTAGCAGCGAGACAGAATTTGAGGCCTCTTTCTTTTTAAAAATCTTTTTGGGTCTCTTCGCCTGCTGCTTTCGCGCCTGCGTGCATCCCAAAACAAGTGCCTTAAAATCTCCCCATGTCTCTCTTGACTGTGCTTTACCAAAGCCAAAGATTTTCCCCAGAAAAGCCAAATTGAAATTCTGCTGGGTTTAAACTCCCCAGTCGTATCTCTTCCAAAAGCAAGAGGAGATACAGTGGACGGGAAGCAGCCTTATGTCTGGTATTAAACTTAATAACTAAAGCCTCCACTTATTTAACTTATTCTGCTTTAACAACATAAGCATAAGCTCTGATGGGTTTCCGCCTCATCGCTGAAAAGGGAGATTAGAAATGCAGACGTATTCAGCCGACTAGAAATGTGCAAGGACTCTTGCTTTATTCTGGAGAAAACAGCATTTTATTTTAAAAGAATGAGCCATGACCCTTCCCCCCCCCCCTTTTCTAGGATCAGCTCCAGCAGAAAATCCTATGCCCAGGACTCGTGACCTGTCTAACTGCTGCCCCCAATGGGCTCTACATCCTGGCCGGAATCGCTGAAAGCATTTACTTGTGGGAGGTAAGCAAACGGGCGATGGTATGGAGATCTCCCCATGCGGGGGCTAAATCTTTGCTATTCTAGATCAGCAGCTGCTGGGAGCCCATAAGTGCGGAAATGAAGAGATCAACAAAGCGACGAAGCCAAACAAACAATTTTTTAAAAAAAAACCAATACAAAACAGTGTGCTTGAGATTTGTGGATACTGTCTTTTCTACAGGAGACATGTTACAAAAGCAGGGCGGAGGGTGTGTGTGTGTGACACCCAGAATACAACAGGCTGAGTCTTCAGCCTTTGCTTGTCCTCGTTATTGTCTTCAAACAGGTCAGAAAGGCAACAGACAAGAAAACAGGCCTCCTCGGGTTGGCCCATAGCTTTCCTGAAAACTGTGAAGTTAGGAGCTTTCTAAATTTCTGCAGTGAATTTGAAATGGCGCCTCCCGTACCTGGGTTTACAAGCTCCTTGGTGGGTGGGAAAGAGAGTGTTTCTCTCCTGTAACACCAGGGATCACGTTCACTAGAGAAATGAAAAGATGCTGAGTTTTAGTTTGAACAGGAGAGAGACATGGTGGAAATTATTTCATGGGAGAAAGCGGCACCCTAGCTGTTTCCTCATTAGTTGCTTTTCAGAGGCATCTGTGAGCTGGTCTGTTCTCCCAGTGGGCTCAACCCTGTCTCCGTCAGCAGACTCTTCCTCTTGGCTGCATCCAGAGGAGGACCAAGGCCGCTGGCCCTGCTCCGTCGGCCCAGTTGGCTTCGGATCCCGCCGGGTTCGGCTTTCCCGCTTCTGCTGGCGTCAGCGGCTGTTCCGCCCAGCTGCGTCACTGCCGACTGACCTCCTGCTCCTCTCAGCAGAACCGGATCCAGCTTGACCTCCTTCAGCAGCTGCGTTCCATCTGGCTGCATCCGAAGGAAGGCAGGGTGGCTACGTCCTGACGAAAGCTTGACTGGCTTAAGAGTCTCTCCCTTCCCAGGACTGCTTGTGTCAACAGCTCTTCCACCTGGCTGCCTCGGAGACGAGCGAGCAATGCTGATCCTCACACGCATATCAGTTTAGTTTGGACCAGCTGCTCGGCAGATGCCAGGGAGTGTAAGAACATACGAAACGGCTGTCGGCTGAATAAGATCTTGACTCTCTCTGCCCTAGTGCCTGACTGGCAGCCGTGGTTTTCGTAGGGTTTTGGGCAGGGTTCATCCCTCGCCTTACCTGGAGATCCTCTGTGTTGGTTTTTGTCACCCTAATCTCTGCTTCGAAGGATGACAGGCTTGGAATCACCGTGATGCCTTTAATGAAATGGTGGAAGGCAGTGAAATTGACCGACAGGGACATTGACCAGGTTTCCGGAGTTGGTCAATTTCAAACAGGCCAACTTGGCTCCAGTTGGGTTCAGTTTACAAGCACAGAGATACAGACTAAATGTTAGGAAGAGTCTCCAGAGTATAACAGCTGTTAAAATAAAGGCTCTGTGAAGATCACAGGCTCTCCTTTATTTGAGGTTTTTAAGCAGGGTTTTGGGTGGCTGTTTATCAGTCCCACCGTAGCTGTGGATTTGTTGATCCTCTAGAGCTGTGGCTCCCAACCTTGGGTCCCCGGATCTTCTTGGACTACAACTCCCAAAAATCCTGGCCAGCACAGCTCATGGTGGAGGTTTTTTCTGGGGGAGTTTTCATCCAAGAACACGTGGGGACCAAAATTTGGGAGCCACGGCTCTAGAACAATGCCAGTTTACCCAATGGCTTCAATTCCCTGGCTGTGATTCAGCCCAGTCCGAGGAAAGACTGACATAGCTGGGCCTGTTTAGCCTTGAGAAAAGAAGACAGGAGAGCACTTTTCAAAAACTTGAAAGGTCGTCCTACAGAAGAGGAGCAGGATCCATTCTCCGTCCTCCGAGAGTGTAGGGCGCGCCATCCTGGGCTCAAGCTCCAGGAGGCCGGATTTAGGCTGGATATCTGGAAAAACTTCTCAACCGTTAGAGGCGTACAACAATGGGACCTGTGGCCTCGGGGGTTGGTGAGTGCTCTGATCCTGGAGGCTTTCACCCTCTCTCAGATCTGGGACCCTGCCCTCTGTTAGATCTGCTTTAACTTGGATTCCTGCCCTGCATAGGGGGTTGGACTAGATAGCCTTAGCGGGCCCCCTTCCAACTCAATCATTCTATGATCCTGGGTTTTTCAGGTGGCACAGAAGCTAGCTTGCAGTGCCCACCTGTGAGTGGTGTGATAGTTGCCCTCTCTGTTCCCAGCCTCCAGCAAAGAGAGGTTTGGGCAGGCTTGACCGCCTAGCTTCCCTTCTGACCCTGCAGTAAGACCTCGGCTGAATCGCTCCCTCCTTTGAGCAGACCCACTGAAACCCACGAGGGTAGTTTCCATTTGCCTTCGGTTCCATGCATTTTGCCACTCTCTTTATACCACGCGAGGGGTCAGGGTGCTTTGTTTTGGGAGCAGACATTTGCAATTTGGATCTGGCCCGGAGCCGCCTGGCCTCTACCCAGCTGAATCTGGCTTCGCACGAAGAAGCTCCGAGCCCGGGTGGGCAGAATGTCCCCCACGAATTACATCCACCCCATCCTGGGTCTCCCAAAGTCCCCCGCCTTCGCTCTGAAGCATCTCCCACCCACCGAGTTCTTCCTGGCTTCTGTCTCTCCCCTCCATCTCTTCGACTGCAGGTGTCCAGCGGGAACCTGCTCGCCATCCTGAACCGGCACTATCAGGATCTCTCCTGCCTGGCTTTTACGGACGACAGCAGCCACTTTCTCTCGGGGGCGAAAGACAGTCTGGTCATCGTGTGGAACCTTTTCAGGTACGAAGCGGAGCCCGCCTGGGTGCCTGAGCTGCCTAGCTCTTTCCTGCTTCCGTTGACTGTTTCTGTAAACCTTTTCTATGTGAATCATTGGTAGGGAACTCTCACCGTGTTGATCGTTTTCCCCTCCAGTTCCTCCTCAGGTGAACCGCGGGGGGATGGAGGATGGGACTCTTGGATATTCGGCCAATACGTGACACGGTTTGGAGGTATAAATAACCCCCTTTTTTGCAGTCTGCGGCTGGCTTTGCATTTTAGCCAAACCCTTCCAATTTGCAGAGCGGGTTCTTGCTCCAAAGGAAGGTTCTTTGAATTTACCTGTTTCGCTCCTCGGTTGGTAAAAGCGGATCCCAAAGGAAAGATGGGTGGGTGGGTTTCATGCCAGAAAAAGCCTTTATGGCTGCTTAAAATCAGGACCCCGGCAAGAGCCTCCTCAGGCTTTCCGTTGTCCGTCGTGAACAGAATATGCTTGAAGTGGAGAAACGGAGTCATTAGATGAATTGAATTGTTGTTAATAGATGGATGGGAGGAATTGGGAAGCCAGGAGTTTCTCCGCCAGAGATGGTCTGTCCTGCAGAGAGATTTTTATAGATGCTGGAGAGAACGCAGTTCTGGGAAGCCTTCGCTTTGAGCGAGCTGCATGCCAGTCCCTTTCCAGCAGTGGGTGTTTCCTCATCGGCTGCGGGGTGGGGCCCCCTCGGCTCTTTTCTCCGTATCACAGTTCACCCCGACACTGCCCACCTTATCTTGTCCAGTTCTGCCACCCGGAAAGTGCCTTTGGGGGGAAAAAAGCCCTTTTCTCCCCTCTCACGTCTGCCTCAAAGTTATTCTCCGGTTGGCGCTGACCCTGCGCCAGGCAGAGGTTGGGCACCAATTAGCCCTTCCTTAATTGCTTTGGCCTTTGCGGGCAGATGTCCGGCAAAACGTTTTCCCAAATCCCTCTGTTTCTGACGGCTGGGCTCCGTCCTCTGATGACCCTCTTTTCTGATCCTGGACAGGAGCCCAAGGTCAGGAGTTGCTGTGTCCAGGATCTCCCAGCCGTAGCCTTTTTAATTTCAAAAAGAGTGTACGGCAGAGTGATGCCCCATTTTAGATGTGAGCAAAGCCCTTCTCGTTCCTTTTAGGGAGGCCTCCATTCGGGGAGGAGAGCCTTCGGCTCTTCCTAAGATGTGGGTGTTCACAGATTAGTCAGTCAGTCTGTCTGTCTGTCTGTCTGTCCGTTGCTCCCTCCCTCCCTCTATCCACCCACTATCTGTCTGTCTGTTTCATGCATTTATAAGCAGTTCTACCTAAGGAGATTCCCTAACTTTTCAAGGCTGCTATTAAAATACGGCCTCCTGAGGCTGACCCCTCCCTTTGCCCAACAGCCAGGCCGGCTCTAACGCTGCTTGGTCAGCCTGGAGCCTCCCTGGCTCGGCCCGCGCGGAACCCTTTCTCCCTCCTCCTGTTTATGATGGCTGGAACGCAGAAGGGTGCCCTTTGTTTCCCCCAGCGTGCTACAGGCCGATCTTGTCCAGAATGCCGAGCCCCGCCACGTCTGGTCACGACACAGCCTCCCCATCACGGACCTCTGCTGCGGCGTGGGCGGCCCAACAGCCCGTGTCGCCACGGCTTCGCTAGACCAAACGGCCAAGGTAAAGTTGGGTGTTCCAATCCTTGACAGGGGCTGGACTGGATGATCTTTGGGGTCCCCTTCCAGCTCTGCTGTTCTTAGATTATTAGATTGTTATTAAACTGATGTCCAGGGACCTTTTAAGGAGAAAGGTGGGGTAAAAATATTTTAAATAAAAGAACTTTTTTTGTATGACGTGTAAAGGCTGGGCTCATCCTTGCCTTCCTCCCCCCCCCCCCCCAGCTCTGGGAAATCTCCTCAGGGGACCTCCTCCTGTCGGTCGTCTTCGACGTGAGCCTCACCTCGGTGGCCCTGGACCTCACTGAGTATCACATGTTCTGTGGCGGCATGGATGGCTCCATTTTCCAGGTGGACCTCTGCTCCTGGGTAAGTCTCACCCTGCAGGCAGCTGTGTTTCTGCCTCTTGACGGTCCCCCTTTTTGAGGGAGAGGCAAAGCTCAATGTCTTCGGTGTCTCAGGCCAGCAGAGGGTCCCCTTGTCATCCCTCTCTCCCTCTTCTGCCTGCTGGATGAACCGATGAGGGGAGGGGCAGCCTAAGGCTCATCTAGTCTCACCCCCCATCCAAGGCAGCAAACCAGCGATGAAGACACGCTTCACAGGCGGCCCTCCGGCCTCCAAAAAATGGTGTCAGCTCTTCTGAGCGTGTCTGTTTTGCTTTCAAGCAGCTTCTTACCCCCCTCCGCATGGCGTTTACTCACAAACTCCTAATTTGAATCCATGGGAATTGAGTCCTGGTAGAATATGCAGCCTCTTCCAACTTCTACACAGCCTCCTTTTAAATACTGGAGGGAGAGTATCAGCCCTTTTTTTCTGTCTCCAGGCGAAACATACCGAGTTCCTTCCGCTATTCCTTTTTGTTGGGGCGCTGTAGCTTAATGCATTGATTGGGTGGCTTCCGGTGGACGGAGAGGCGGCCCCCGCCCGACGCAGTGTCAGTGATTTTGCCTGCACTTTGCTTTACACAAAAGTATAGGTTTGGATGTGGTTCGTAAGCTATTTCCTCAGTGCCCCCTCCCCCATTTGCTTTCCTTACAGCCGGTCCAGAGGGAAAGAGGTTTCCAGACTGAGCGGGAGACTGGGAAGACCTTTAAAGGACACAGGTGAGTGCTCTCCTGTCTCCCTTCTTTTCCTAGACAAGGTGGGTTTGATTTAAATTAGATTCATTTACATCACGAGTCAAATGAGAGAAAAAAAGAACAGCTGGAAATCAAAACGTGGTTATTTTAACTCCAATTGTGATACGATTTAAATCAAAAAGGTCCCTGCTCCCAGATATTCCTTCCCCAAGGGGCACTAATGTATCTCAGGTGGCGGGGGGTGGGTGGGTTTTCCTCCCCATGGCTGCTTTTCCATCCTGATCAAACTTGCTAGGCTCGGTGGAAGGTTCTTGTTTTGACCCTCTTCTCCTGTCTCCCTGCTCCAACAGGAACCAGGTGACGTGCCTGTCTGTCTCCACCGACGGGAGCCTTCTTCTCTCCGGCTCCCACGATGAAACTGTCCGGCTGTGGGACATCCAGAGCAAGCAGTGTGTGCGGACGGTGAATTATAAAGGTCCGTGTGGAGGATTCCTATCTGATCAAATTTAAAAAGTATTTTGGAAACACCTTGAAAGCACAGCAGAAATCTATTCTATGCAGTTTTCTTAGCAGCCAACCATGTGGCAAAAATCCAAATTCAGAGGTCTTTGCCTCTGTGTGGGTTTCTCTAAGGCAGGTCGCACCAGATGTATCTTGCGTCTTTTTCTTTAGTACGGTGGCAAGCTTGATAGATAAGGGGAATGCTGTGAATGTCATATATCTTGGCCTTGCATGCTGTTAGTATATCTTGGTCTTGCGTGATGTTGAGGTTGGGCTAGATGCCCGCTGAGGTCCTACGACCTTTACATTTCTGTCGTCTAGAAGGACTATCAGACAGAAAGAGCCTGATCCTTCTAAATTCAAACAAAACTTTGCATCTTTCCTCGCCGTTTTGGAGGAACGGGGCCTGTGGATATACTTTTGCTGGCCCCGATCTCCGTGGTTAGGAGACGGGAAAATATTTTTGCGTCAACCAGCACGTGGTTTCCGTATTTGTCTGCATGGTCCTGATGGGTTCGTGGGTAAATCCTTTCGGCTCCCTGAGCTGCAGAATTCCCCCCCCCCTTCGGCGCTGCAGTGAGCAGGGGAGGGGGTTGTTTTCCAAGGGGCCAATTCTGTGCGCCGTATAATCTTTGCTGTACATAATCTTTGCTATAATGAGCTCCGCGTCCCGGGCCCTGCGTCGTTTCTGCTTCATTACCGACACAACATGATTTACTGATTCTCTTTAGCTTGGACTCACTCTCTCTCTCTCTCTGTGTTTTTAAAACACCCAAGGAAACACTCTGAACATTGGCAGAAAGGGGGCATTAAAATGCGCACGACTGACTCTCAAATGCCACGGCGTGATGGGGCACCATCAATTTTTCACGGCCAGGCGTTGGCTGGGATCTCCAAAGCCACACTGTCCTATCACAGCGCGCAGGAAGAGCCAGGAGCCCGTGTAACAGCGTTGTGGTATAGATAGCGTGCGGGACTGGGAGAGATGGTGCAATCTTGAAACTCTGTGGGTGACATTAATCCCAGGACTGGTTTGTCTCGGCCTATCCTACCTGGTGGGGTTGTTGTGAAGAAGGGAGAAGGGCTGTGTTCACCACCTGGAGGTGGAGATTAGCAGAGCAAAGACCTCGCGGCCATTAGGAGAGTTTGTTTGGTGGTCCTCGAAGCAAAATCCAAAATCAGGAGGAGACCTTTGGTCCACCACTCAAGAGGGCCCTCCGAGTTAAGCTTTCATCAGACTTTATTTTAGAACTCCAGAGCTGGAAGGGACCCTATAGAATCATCCAGTCCAGCCCACGTCAAGGGGTCCCAGTGGGGGATTCGAACTCCCAACCTGATCCCCCTGAGTTACTTGAAGAACTTGAGGCCAGGAGAGAAAACAGAAAACAGAACAGTTTACCCTGGCGAGACATTGAAGCCCCACGATCTCAAGTTTGAAGAAGATGACCGCTGTGAACGTGAAGAATCGTTCTGGGGTGTGATGGCATTAATGTTCACTCTATGGATATAAACCCACCCCTCTCTCTGTGGCTCTGTAGACTCTTGGGAATCCCCAGATGTTCTCCGACTTAAAACTCCCCGTTTACTTTGCCGTTTACTGTGCCGGCCAAGATTCCTGGGGTCTGAGTCCAGGAACATTTGGGGATCCCCGGGGCTGGGAACTAGACAGAAAAGTAGCCAGTCCCCCAGTGACCCCTCTGTTGTGGTTTTTCAAAGCAGGATGCCTTCAATGGTGGCAGAGAAGCAGAGGCACCGAGAAGCATGGCAACCCTTTTATCAAGACAACGGCCAATTACTTTAGGGGTGTTGAAGTGACCCCCATTACTGTGGTTAACAGCCTCTGGGTTTGTTTTCGTGTTCTTAAGCAGCGGATTCCCATTTGCTTCTTTTAAAAAACAACAACTACGTTTTATATAATCACCTTGTCCTTTCTTTTTCCCTCCCTCTGCCAATGGACTAATTACTTTTCCCACCCTTCAAAACCCAAGTGCTTTTAAACTGCCTGCTTTTGTCACCACCCGAGGGGAAGCAATAATATTCTTTATCTCGGCAAAGCAGGGCTCCCGATAAGAGACGGCTGTCTAGGACATGACTTGCTCCCATTCTTGCATCTTTTCAGGGTTCCCTTGCTTTCCCACCACCTTTGGCTGTAAATCCTCTGCTCAGAATAAGCTGCCAGACAGTCCCTAATAAGGCGTCTGGGAGCCTTCTCCCCCCTCCCAAAAAAACAATGTGATTTAATAAAGGCGGTGCATGCCTTCCATCGAGAGAGCCCGTTTTTGCATTTCCGATCATCAAGGGAGCTGGTTTCTCACCCGGGGGTGGCTGCGCGGAAGCCGTTCTTCGGCTCATCATCCACCCTAAACGGGTGAGTGGTTACCCCAGGATGAGCTGATCAAATGACTCGGGGCTATTTACCGAGGGGCTCATGTTTGAATCTCCCCGTTGCCCCTTTGCACGAGTCTCTGCTCTGCCAGGCCGAGGTAAAAAAAATCACCATGTGACCAGCTAGGCTTCTTGGAGAGCGAGAGGGGTACTGTATTTTGCTTTTCTACTTCTTGAGATTCTACCCTCAAAATTCTA